GCACGGCCCCGCCGCCCCGCTCTCACCGCCGCATGGCCGCCGCTGCCCCCCGCTCACCTGCGGGGACGGGACGCTGAGCGAGGGCTCCGCGTGCGAGCCTGACCCGCTCCCCGCTCCTCCGCCCCCCACCCCCGCCCCGGGGCCCGCCCGAGGCCGCTGCCCCCGGGGCCCGGCCGGATCCCCCCGAGCGGCGGCGGCGGCGGGGCTGCCCCGGGCGGCCCGAGCGGAGCGGAGCGGAGAGAGCGGAGCGCGGTGGGGCGGAGGGAAGAGCGCGGCTCCCCCCTCGCGGCCGCCGCCGTCACTGCGCGGGGCCGGCGGGCCGGGAGGGGCGCGAAGGGGTGTGCCGAGCCGAGGAGACGGGAGAAGCGTTCCGCAAAGAGCGGTGCGATGCGGTTTGCAAACAGCCCCGCGAAGCGCTGCGCGCGAGAGTTTGCGAAGAGCCGTGCAAAAAAGGCGCTGCGAAAGAACGCGCCGCTCGCAGAGCCTCGCGAGGCGCTTTGCGAAGAGCGGCGCGGAGGGGTTCGCCGAGGGGCGCGCGGAGGCAGCGGTCAGCAAAGGGCGTCGCGGAGCGCGGTGCGCGCAGAGCAGCACTGCGGGGCGCAGCCCCAGACCTCTGCCCTTGAACGCCACGCTGCTGGAGAGCAGATGGCGGTGACAGCCAGCGCAGCCCTTCGGGAAGCCTTGCTGCGATTGCGATCAATCCAGCAAGGTAAAACAGGAGAATAACCAAAGAAAGCGTCCCTCTGGGATCCTCCCCAGCTTTGCAAACAGGTCCCCGAGTTGGGTTTTCCGCTCCCTGCACAAGCACGCTTTTCTGTTGCACTTGCTGTCCTCTGGTTTGCAAATCATCGCCGCTCCTACAAACGCGGTACCAAATTGCAGCCTCGTATTTTACTGCTGCACCCAAACAGAGCGACGGCGGCTGGGAGCGAGGCCTCTTCAACATTCAGATCATAAAGCATCCTTTGGTTATCCCTTCTTTATTTGCCCTAATAGCTGGTCATAAAACCCACTTTTAAGGAAATAATTGTGTACAGAAGAATCAGTCGCATGCCACAGAGATGCTGTTATTTGCATAATTACGAGGAGCCTGATTTTATCTCTTAGCTTTGTCAAAACAAAGAGGAGCGATCTCACACCGCATTTCTGATGCCCTTGAACCAACCAGAACATGCAGCCCTCAATTCCAATGAGCCTGGGTTCACGGGGTTCACGCACAGTTTGTGCTGTGAAGTCTCCCTGCTCTCTGCCCAAGGCTGGGGCAACCCAGCTCCTGGTCCCTAGTGGCAAAGAAGCACAGATGCTCAGCGAGGGGCTCTGTGCTTCTCTGGCTCCAGAGCAGGTGGAACAGATATGGGTTTAATCAGCACCTCAATCAGATCCAGCTGTTCTTTTTCACAGGGCTCCATCCATATTAAGAATTACCTTTGCATCAGAAGCATGCCGTGCTGTCACCTGTACTGCTCAGTGCCAGCAGGTGGGTGGGAGGGCACAAGCAGCACAGGGCCTCAAGGGAGGGCTGGGAAGTGTTCCAGGCCAGGCCAGCACTGATACAGAAAAGGGAAATTCTCAGCACAAGCCCAGACAGGCAGCACTTTGCACCCCCATCCTCAGAAATTCAGGTCTGCCTCTCTAATGAAAAGGAGAGACTCCTGCCACCAGGAGCACTGCAAAAATTAATGGAGATTACGGCTGTAACTGCTCGAATCGAATGCAAACCCATGTGTGGCACGGCCCTTCTGCAATTTTAGCAGCTTGCGATGGCCCTGTTTACAGCTATCCCTGCCTGATCTGAGCCCAGCAGGAATGAAGCTAATAGAAAGCGAGCAAAGTGAATTAGGAGCAGAGAGGCTGTGAGTGCAGCGCATCCCGCTGCAGCCACACCGGGAGATTTGTCTTTCAGACAGCACGAAGTGCTCCCCTCCCCTCTGTGTGCAAAGTGCCCCGGCTGAAACGCTGCGCTGGCACTGAAAGGACAACACAGCCCTCGGGTCCGGCAGGGAAGGGCTGATGGCTCCGAGCACAGCCCCACTCCTATGGGAGCTCTGGGGGAGGAGAGCTCACCCCAGCCTTCCCTCTTTCCTTCTGTGGGAGCTGAGGGAGAGCTCAGGGCACAGCACTGCTGGGGCTGCTGGTTGGGCAATGCCTGCAAGGTGTTTGAACGCAGCGTTTGGTGGGATGCAGAGATGAGGAGACCCGAGGGCAAAGGGACCCCGCTGCTCACAGCTCAGCCTCACGTCCTGCTCTGCAGGACAGGGGCTCCCAGGCACAAAACTATTGATTGTCACCTCTACTTTAACAAATGAGTGGGGAAATTTCCACTCTTTAAAGCAGGAGATGCTCTGAATATTTATGTTATTGTTCACCGATGGAAAAAAAGGAAAAGTGCCATAAATGCACATATTTGGTGACCCAATTTGAGTGGCTCATTACAATCAGATCAAGCTAATTGCCAGCCTTGTATTTCATTTGGCAACTTGTTAAGCTAATTGAACAAAATAAAACTAATGAACAATTATAATGAAGTTTATAATTAGACCATTGGAAAAACTCAGTGTGAGAATGTTTAAGGCATAATGAATGTTGGGGAGGTGCGGGGGAGCGGGAGGGGTCGGGCGGTGATGCCAAATGCTCCTTTCCAGGCCTGGAGATGGTGGTGTGTCACTGCTCCCAAATCACATCAATGCAGCGTAATATTAATTACATTCATGCCCTTCAAGTATGCACATGGCATTTAGCGACCCTAAATTCGGGGCTGAGCCTATTAGAGAGGCAGCTGAGAGCCGGCTGTTGTGCTGAGCTCCTCGCACTGCCGTGCACATCTCGGCCCCGTTAGGGCAGGGCTGTTGTGCTGCAGGAGCTGCATCCTAACAGAACGATGAGTCGCTCCATACTGAACTGCATTGCCAGTTAGGAGCCAGGGAGACAAACCAGGAGGAACAGAAAGAGTGGGAGACGGGAGAGTGATCGCACACAAATGCAATGGGGCGGCACCAAGCACAGCTGGAACAGCGATCCCAGCACACAGCAGCCTCCTCATGCTGCTCTGGGCTTCTCCTTCCTCGGTTCCTCGTCCCCCCACAGCAGCACGGCTCAGCAAACAGGAATAAACCCTAAAGCAAAGCGTGAAGCAGGCCCCGCGATGCGGGATAACAGGAGCCATTTACAGCCAGGCTGGCATTTGCATTAAAGAACAAACCCTGTACGAGAACCTCTCTCCATGCTTTACACTCCTGCATTAATTCATGAAGTGTCGTGTATCTGGCATATTTCATTATACATAAGAACCAGGCCAATTAAAACCCTCAGGTGAGTACAGCAGCCGCACAGCCAGGCTGGCACAGCCAGGCCCATGGAGGCACGGAGCTGAACCTGCTCAGCTGAGCTCCCTTCCTGCAGGCAGGTTATTTCAGTTCAGTGTTACCTTTTTGTAGCTAACAGCAGCTGAAGAGGCTCAACCCCACGGTCTGGTGGGAATGTTACCCTGCACCACCAACCACTCCTGCCTTTAAATTGCTACAGGAAAGGGAACGGCGCTGACAAAGGGAACTTTGGAGAGCAGATTCCTTAGCAGTGTGAACTGTGTGTTAATATGCTATCATAATCAACAATCCTGAGGACGTTTTTTTTGTCTATGGGTCTTCATTGTGTCAGCCAGAAGCTCAGGCAGAACGCTGATAACCCTCTCCAACTCTGCAAAAGCACTCGTCAAAAGCGTTAGGGCAAGAATTAAGGTCTTGTAATTATGAAGTTGGAGGCCCAATTAATTCTTTGCTAACATGCTACAGAACAACAATGGCTCAGCAATAGCACACTGAAGATTCCCTCCCCCACACACCGCTCTGCCCCCAAACTCTGTGGCTGAGAAGGATTCCTCTGACCCACAGAACCATGAGGAGAATTGCACGGACAGCTGAGGCTGCAGCGTGAGTACTGGGGGCACCCTACAGTTCTGCAGCTCAAATTGTTCGAGATGCCCTCAGACCCACTAACAGCATTTCAGGAGCTGTTTCCCTCTGCACACCAATTTACTCTTGCTTTGCACACAGCCCATGCAGAGCAAGGTGCTCCAGCTGACACTGATCAGCTCTTCAATGGAGCACATGCTCTCAGTAGCTTGGCCATGCTGCTCCAAGCTTGTACATTTCTGCTACAACACTGGACAGCATTCAGCTTCTTTCTGGTGACCCTACAAACCCCCAAAGCCCTGCAGTTCCATCTCAGGATGAAGCTGTTACACTCCACTAATGCATTTTAATATTACCTTAACGCTCATTTGCCTGTATGACTGACTGCTCTGCCTTGCCAGCAGTATCCTTCTCACTATGCATGCACCGAACAAAAGACACCAACAGCCCCAGGGAAGGTGGACTCCATCAGGCAGTTACCTTTGTTTTTAAAATCACTGAATTTGTAATTCACACAACCAGTTTCTCTTTTGCACATAACTTCTATCAGCTCCATCCTGTTTGGGCAGTTGTGTTGCCTGCTCGTTTTCTTTGGAACCACTGCTAACCATGGAAGTGAACTGAAATCAGAAGGCAGCGAGAGGGAAGGTACCTGCTTTGAGAGGAGCTGACAACAGCACGTTTATAAGAGGGCAGCAATTAAACTGTGAGTCAAGGACAAATGGATGGGGCCATACAGTGCTATGGAGGTGCTCTCAGATTTGCAGAGGGCCACCTGAGAAAAGCCCCCAGCTGTGGTACTGCTGCTCTGAAGATCCCCTGTTGAACACTTCTGCCAGAGGCTGACAGTCATCTGCAGTGAGCTCTCTGCATCCCACAAGTGCCACAAGTATCTGTATTTTCCAAGCAAAGCACTGCAAACCCCAGATTGGGAATAGGCAGCACACATAACTGGGTGCCACTGGTTACACACTGACAGCCCAAAGGCAGCAGATCTCTGGACAGAAGACCTGAGTTCACAAGAATCCTCTTAAAACAGCATTTGCCCCCTATTTCCCTATGTTTGATCACTACTTCCTTATGCCCAGGCTCTGAAGAGAGCACAGCTAGCTTATAGCTGTAGATGGGCAGCAGGAAAGCTACATTCTCTGCTCCTTTTTACCAGCTGGTGAGCTGCCCCCACCTTTCCAGGCATTCTGAACTACCCCCCATCTGGACAGAGATGTGTTGCAGTACCCAAAGAAATAGGTCACTTGCATTTCTCTTTGCTTACCTTTGGTGTACATTGGTTGTTTGGAGGACAGGAGGAGCTGGCTTCAGGAAGCCTGAACAACAGCCAGCTCTGCCTCTGCCTCCCTCAAGGAACAACTCACCCCTCTTCCTCCCCTCATCTCCATCAGCTGTGTCCCCAACACTTCTGAAACTCAATCTTTGAAACCAGGTGAGGCACTCAGAGGTCACTGTCTGCAGAGCACAGAATTTGTATCACCTGTCAAGGCTTTACAGCTAGCAGGTCATTTCCAGCACACAGACCTATATATATATATATGTATATATACACACACATACATATACATACACACACACACATTCCTTTTTTCCCTGTTAAGATACTCTGGGAACACCTTTGTACAGTCTAACATTTGCAGGAGATCAAACTAGATCTGTTAAAGCTTTCTGTAACTTTTCCAGTATGATATAGGATTTAAAAAAAAACAGCCTCTAGGCACTGTATATGTTTTTAGTATATCTGTGCTTCTAAACTATTTTTAATTAATGAAATATCCCCAAATTACTTATTAATAAGGGTCTGTGGGCTTTGTAAACAGACATTTTGCATGAATTAAAGAACAATATAATGAAGTTTTAATGAATACAAAGTCACAGTTAATGTAAAATTTATATATAGCACGCCAGAGGGGAAAGGAATTTTAAAATACTTTTAATCATAGGTTATTGGCAGCTGGATAGCTCATTTTTATACTTTCCTAACGGGTGCTTGGTATTTATGTGCTAGCATTTATCACGCCAGCATCTATACTGTCCAACTTGGTACAGTTCAAAAAGTCAAATGGAAACCGACTCATTTAAAGACTCATTTGCTAATGAGGCATTTCTGAGCCCTGCAGTGGGTGTGGAGCTGCTGCCCACAACCACTGCGTTCTTTGGACTGTCAAAGAGGGGCACTTTCACCCTTTGTGAATGAACAGCCACACTTGATGAGCTCTGCAGCAACATTCAGCTTACCAGAGCTGGCTGAGATTTGTCATGGGGGAGGAAACTACAATTCACATTGACTATCTGCAGCAACACATCACCACCACCAACTCCTTGATTCTGCCCTAAACAACAGAGCATGCCCCTTCCCCCTGTTAGCAGCATGAACATATTGCAGCCTGCAGCTCCTTCCCATCCTGCCACCAGGCACGTGTGCAGCACATTTTCTTCTCCTGTTTACCTGTGACCTTCTAAACAAGCCAGCCATGCATGCATAGCCAGCACCTATGTTTGCTTGTCTTGGGCTCTGCACCAGAAAGAAACAGGATAAAACTTTCAGAGAACAAACATTGTGCTGTGGGGATAGACTTGGGTTAAAAACCCATTAAAATCATCAGCAGAAATTAAGTTACAAATGGTTCCATGACAACCAATCTAAAGAAAATTAAGACAATAGCTGAGTGAAAGTGTAAACAAATATATATTATATATATATAAAGAATCAATTTATTTTAATTAACTCTATTACTGTTGAATGCATTCAACACAATTGTAAGGACATCCATTATTTTAATGCATTAAATACTTAACCCACAAAACTCAAATAGTGCAGGAGGTGCTGACTGCCAGAGGTTCGGTACAACTGCTGCCATTCTATTTTCCTTGTGGGAAAAGAAAACAACGTTTTAGTGCTTCCATTTTACTGTTTTAGTATACTCACTATCGTATTTTTCCCTTTATGAACTGGAAGGGTACAGAGCTAGAAAACATTTTAGCCTTTCCTTTTCATAGTGACATTTAGTAAAAAAAAAATGTTACAAAAACATCAGCTTTTAATATATGAACACACTGGAATCCTTCAGCTAACATAACAGTGGATTGTAATTGGGAGTAATTACAGTCAGTTCCATGGACAGAACCCAGAGCTACACCAGGAATACAGCAGTGATTGCTCCTCCACCTTTCGAATCCCCTGAAGTCTATGAATGTAGAGCTTAAAACAACAGGAGGGTTCCATCACAAAACGGAGCAGCAGTTACCTTCAGAAGTACCATCACCTATTTCAGGCCTGGAATTATTCTGAGTCAAGTCAGATAGATTTAGTGCATTATGATTTGGCTTTATAAAAACATGTAAATGCATGGTATGCATAGGATGCTTCTGTGTTTCACAGACAAGTAGTTACAACTGCTGCACCTTCCTTGCAGGTGGCTCTAAAATGCATAAATTGAAAAAGAAAAATGTTAAAAATCCAGTTTCCTTTTTTTAAAACGTGAACATTTAGTGAAAGAAATATTCTATTATCAACTGCTAATGGTGCTCCCATCTGATGGGCTACTGATGGGAATCTAACCAGAAACAACGCATTCGTCATATATATAAAAATCAGAACAGGCAGGTTCCTCCTTCCAGGCTGGAAAAGACTCCAGGACGTATGGCATATTGAAGCAATAAAAGGGAGCTAAGCTTTACCCAAGCCTTTCATAATGCACTTTACGAGATATTTCTTTTTCTTTTAAAAGAACCACTGGTATTAAATAGAGCTTTTTCTTTACGTACAGTATTGATATATACAAAACAAACACAGAACAAAGACAGATGCAAAAAAAAACCAACAAAACCATGAACATGTGGCTTCAGAAATTCTGAAGCTCGGGAATATTTTGGTAGAGGTCCAAAGTCTCTGGGTTTGAGAAAGCTCCCCGCTGCTCTACTTCTTTCCCCGCAATTATTTGCTTCACGGCCACTTCCACTTTCTTCCCATTTATCGTATACTGAAAAACAAAGCCAGCAATGACAGAATTACACTTTTCATGTAGTAGCTTGGTGGAAAGATTAATAAGAACACCTACCTAAGAACCCAGCCACAGTGCAGCCTCACATCTTCCCTTTTCTGCTACGTTTGATCGGTATTTATCAGGTCAGGATGGGACTATGAAGATTTGCACAATGAGCCCACAGTGTTTTTGAACACCTGGAGATCTCATGAAAAACAATGCTTTGCATTACTGAAGCACAGCAGTACTATTTCCACCATTACTGCAATGGCAGTACAAAGTCAGGATTAGACAGGTTTTTATCCCCCCATCAGAAAATACAGTTCTATAAGTAGCAGAAAATAGAAAGAGGTTTCCTTTCCAAGCAAAACCTTCAAAGAAAGATAGGAGACAGCTTTGATCGTTTTACCACTGGAATATTTACCTGAAATGTAATTAAAATTCACTCCATTTTAAATTCAGTCAAAGTGTGAACTAATTAATGATCTAAGCAGGCTTTCCTGAGGGACAGACCATCATAAACACTTCACTGCCATCAACTTTATGCTGTACATCCAAGTGATTTATGCAGCTTACAAGTTCAACACTTCATGCAGAAGCTAAACCACAGCCTGGAAAATCTAACCTTTACCATTTGTCAGATGCAGGGACTTTTATGTTCATGCAATGACAACATTTTAAAGCTAATACTATTGGAGAAGAGCAACTTGATACAGAAATAACCCAACAGATCAGATCCAGATCACTGTGTATTATGAAGTTGGTAGTCCTGTACCCTGGAATATTTCTACATAGAAACCTCACTGGCAGCAGATGAGGTATCAGAACACACAATAATTGGTCTGAAGCCTCAAACCTATGTGCATGTGGCCTCAAGACAAGCACAGCCTGCATCCCCATCCTGCAATAAGCTGTCCATAGAGCTGTTGAGGAGGCTGTAGTATCAGAGACTAGGTAAGAGATAGGCTTCCCAAATAAGAGTTCATACAGCAAGGAGGAGTAGAGTAGAATACTACAGCTCACAACTCCTGAAAACTGAGCATGCAATACCTTTAGCTGTACATTTTTCCTCTCTCCCTTTCACAAGCAGAAAGATTTTTAGTTACTGCTACAGGAAGACAGTGATAAAGCTACATTTTAAATGGCTAAACAGATGTACAAGTGAAACGGCGTGCAAAATGATTTTATAAATTTGCTCGGTGCTCTCAGCTTTCATAAGGATGTCATTTGAAACTGGAAAACAGAAACAAACCAAGCTTATGGGTAGCGTGAAAAGCTTAAGTTAAATTACCTTCCTAATATTTTCCTTTAAAAGACTTCAAGTATATATTACTGAGAAAAAGCAGCTCATATATTTATAAGCTGAGAACGGCCATTTTTAGGTATTGTTAAAAAAAAACAAAAACACACTTAGCTGAAAAGGAGATGAAATGATGTTGCTAGGCAACATAGACAAACTATTTATAAAGCTCGAATACACTTTTGAGATGCTAAAATTTCCATGCATGTGGGCTTGAAGAGCAATGACAACTGCTCCTTAATTACTATTCAAGGTGACAAAGAAAAAAAGTAGGCAGCATTTTTCATGACATACCGGAATGCCTTTGGTTTCTAGAATGAGGCTTGGAACATGCCTGGCAGAAAGTGCTACACGGATTGCATCTCGAATTCTTTTCACCAGATCCTCGCTGAACGCATGGTTTGAAGCCATCTTCAAGAAGAGTATCACCCTTTCCTCCCCATCTTTGTTGTACTGAGGGACACAGAGGCTATCAGAAACCTCCTCAAAGGCTTCAACTGGAAAATCAAAGAGTCATTTTTTAGTATGTTTTGTTTTATTCTGAACACACGATTTCTGTAATTGCAAAAGAAAGTATTACTTCCTGGGATGTACAAAGGGAAAGCAGACTTCCTGGCCAGGTCATTCTGCAAGGCTTGCCTCCAAGAGCTTTAAGATTCTAACTCCTGCTCAGCTGAAGTTTTAAGGGCCACTTGTATGTAGGCCCAGACAAAAAAAATGCCACAACTTCTGGAACTGATGATGGTTTGTACACAAAACTATTGTCTTTGGTTTTTCTCCCAATCTCCAGTTGCTGCTCAGACAGAAATCTAACATGTCTGATCACAGAGGAACAAGGTGTGGCAACAGGTGCCCAAGGGAAGATTCACACCTTGGCACACAGATCCACCACCCTTCACAAGGCAGACGTTTGAGATACGAAGCAGTTTGCATCTTGACAGTCTCACGGAGACTGCACTAGATTCAAATTCTAAGGATTCAAACCAGTCCCTGCTAAAACTGCTATTTATACTACAGAACCCTGTTTCCTATTCTGGGGAGGCAGAACCAGACGTCAGTTGTACCAGGGTAAGCCTTCCAACACAAGAAGCCTGTTACCCAGTTAAAGCACTGCAGAGCTGAAATGGAGCATGACCCAGGGCAGCTGCCACAAGCACCCACACAGCTCTTCTGCAGCTAAGGGAACTTGATCCTCCAAACCTCACACAGCACTGGGAAGACATCGTTCCCAGCAGAACATTATTTAAATTGAACAGGCTTCAGCAGTGCAACCTAGCCTCCCCATCCCTTTGCACTTTTGGCTTCACCTGCAATCCTTCTTTTCAATCAGTTATTGTAACATAAGCTCAAGTACTTATTTGGAACGATGAGATAAAACAAAATAGTGTCAAGAGCTTGGCTAAGGGAAAAAGAAAGAATACTTCATCAGAAGTACTCTTTAAATTTGATCAAAATACCTGTAAGATCTTGTTATATGAAAGCAACATCTTACAGAGAACATCTCAACAAGTCATCTCCAGTGATCTAGATACTTTAGGAAGGCAACCAATTTCAAGTCTACAGGACAGACTTTTATTGTTCATGTTAACATGTACCATTTTCCATTTGAAAAAGAGCAAGCTTTATCACTCAGTCTTTCCAGACACCTGTATAGCACTCGTATCTCAGATTTATGGCAACAAGGTTGTAGTTAAAGAATGTGAAAAGTTGATTTCATACCTATATTATAGATTTCAGAACTTCCGAATCTTACTCCGTTTGGATTTAATGTACCATCACTGAAAGTCACACACAAAACAAAGAGGCATTAAAATGTAATTACAGCTTGATCAAAAGAAAAAATGATGCAGTTAACCAAGTTTCTCCACATCTCATGCAGTGAACACGCAGACAGACACATAAGAAACAGAATTTTAAAATAACTCAATGCTGTGAAAAAGGCCTTTTGCTCATTACAACAAAATTGTACAGAGAAATCCAGCATTATTTATTCCCATTTCCCCCTCTCTCCTCCTCACAGTAGCCCAAATGCAGGCTAGTTCTCTCTCTTCTTAGCTTAGAGGTACACACTGACAAAACAGGAAAAAGACTTTCTAGTACTTCACTGTACTGCAATTGTGTGCCATTACCTCTCAGCAATTGATGGAACTCATGTTTCACACACAGCAGCCTCGCACCTTATGCCTGTAAGTAGATCTGTTTGTGACAGTGCCAGACAGCTCCAACACAGTCAACTCACCTTTATTTTGAACACTAGTATGTAAATACAAGCATAAAATTTACCTCCATTTGTGACCTCCAATTTTTCTATGATCTCTAACAACTCAATGGCTGCCTTTCTGTAATAAGGGTAAGTGTGCAAATTTTAAGGCCTGCTTAAGGAAAACACTTTCACCATCATACTGTACCTGCGCCCAAGCATGACAATTCCTCCTGTCTTGGGATTAATTTTGCAATAATCACCATGGGCCCAAACACCTGTGAGAGAATGACAATGCTTTTAGCAGCTGATTTCTCATTCTTCCACTTCCAAAATATATTTGTGTAATAACTCGTGCATCTTCTATTGTACAGCAAGAATCCCACTGCTTCAGATGTACTTGAAGAGCCACCCACAGCAAATGCAGCAGTAGCTCAACGCAACATGGATTGTTTCTGCAGTTATCACAATGAGCTGGCTCACACAAAAGCAGCTCACACATTCTGATCAAACCCGAGATTATTTTATGATTGCTTGTTTGCAGGCTACATAGCATCCTCTTGAAAACTGACAAAACTCTGCTCTGAACACCACATTTTAAGGAAACAAAGAATCTTTCATAAAGGTAACAGTATTCCCATTGGTCTTTCTTGACCCACTTCTTTTACAGTGTACAATTCTGTGCAAGAAGCTCTCTGGGTTTGCACAATAGGTCTCAGCAGTTCACTAAGGAGCTTATGTGCTTAATACTCTTGATAACATAGTATCAGATTTGACTCTTCAGAACAGGAATAATTCTTGTATTATTTTTAAGACTGAGACCACTACAGCAGACTGTCACAAGCAGAAATAACAAGCCAGCTTTATTAAATTTTTCCTAAAGAAAAACAAGCCTCAATTACATACATGCACATAACACAATTTGCCATCATCGCTGTTACAACTGCAAGCCTATTTACAAGGAACACCAGGAAAGGAGTTTCACACACAACCTCTGAACCGTTATTTCAGCCCAACAACCCTCAGTGTTTTTCTACTTCTTATTGTCACACTCATGCTGACTAACTTCCATATTCCCTCCATCTTCATATATAATTATCTCCTCTGCACATCCTAATTTTTCTTGTGGTTTTACACTGCTGTTTACAGAAAACCTTTCCTCTCCAGAAAGAAAGAGCTCAAGGATTCGCTCCTATGAGCCCCTGTCCAGTGGGCAGCAGTGAGTACAGACAGCATCACCACTCTGCATATGCAAAAGCTGGATGAACAGAGTTCTCACAGTGATTAGGATGAAAGCCTCTGGCTGTCAGCATCATTTCCTCTTACTCTTAGCAGCACTAAGAGCCTGTATGAATGCAGAATATGCACGTCTGAGGCAGTGCATACCTAAGCCTCACGCAATGGAAGCAGCAGGCTAGCACTTATCCCCTAGGATCCACTCCTGCCAGGCAGAAGCAACCTGGCAGAGGTGCTGTAGAACTCATTAATGGAGGATTGCTCCCTGACCTATTGAGCACTTTTGCTTCACACTCATGCCAAGCAGTTTATGTCTGCATTGCAGATTACCAAGCTTTTGTAGCCATATATCTGCCTAATGAGAGCAGGAGCAAAATAGGATTGGAGCTTTCCAGACATTCTTATTAAAGTAATTTGAATCCAGATTTAAAACACCAAAAAATATGGAATGAGAATTATCAGATATGCCTTGGAGTTCTCATCCTCAGTCTCATTTTAGAGCTGCACCTGCCTATCACTGGGCAAGAACAACCTGTACCTTCCCAATAGCAGCAATACAATCTTTACTCTTGGCCAGCTAGAGCAATATCCAACCCCCTTCATCACATACCTGGGAATTTTGAAAAATAAGCCTTCCTGTATTTGCTTCCGTTCTCATCATTCCAGAAGTGTGTAGGCTGACAGGGAATGGGCTTAGTACAAACCAGCTCTCCACTTTCACCCCAAACTGGTTTTCCTGTTTAGAAAGAAAAAGTTATTTTCTGCATTTCCCTTCTGTAAACAACTGAACAGCAAAGCAAAAAGCATCTTGCATGTAAATAACAAATGTACATGTTGATGCAGATATGAGGCAAGGGATGACTGATGATCTTACAGCTTATTTAATTCATTAACTCATCCCTACCTTAACTTCAGTAACTTAAGGACATTTATACCACAGGGTAAGGACAGACTGGCATCCACAACAACATAGCTGATTAGCACACACACACAGGCTAGAACTTGGCACAGTGTGCTTTCCCAAGGCAATGGAAAAGCAGGGTTTTCTTTTACACATTTGTTTTCATTGTAGTGCTTCACACTCCAGATCAGACAGATCCAGAATAAGGTTTTGTGGAACACGTTTCTATAGTGAAATCACTACTTACAGCTGACTGTTAGCCATCTGATGACTGACACACTTAACATCATAACTGCTCTGTTTTGTAAGTGCAATAACATTTTGATAATAGGTACCTTCATCATTCCATGCTTCCACAGCCATTCCGAGATTTCTGGCCTGAATTTCTCCTTTGTAAACTGGAATCGTAACATTCTGACCCATGAAACATGAAATTATATCTGTCCCACCTAAAATAGAACAAGTCTATAAGAACTCCAGAACATCAGACTGCTGCGTTTGTCAAATGTTTCTAATCCACATTATGCAGCACAGAATAACAGTCAGTATTATCAGTTATATGACTTCTCATAACAGAGGTTTCTTCTCCTGCTTTGTGTGTGCAGCTCTTTAAACATGTACACCTTTCATGCAGAAAAGTTCCTTAAGGCACAGCTTTTCTTCCAGTAGTTCCATATCAGTAGGTTCTTCAAGATCATTTAAAAAAGCATCCATCTATGTAAGAATGAGAAAACAAACAGGCCCTACTGCACTGACTTCTATATTTAAGACCACTTGGAAATCTTTTGTTTGTTTTCATTAGCTTGAACTAATTGTTCCACTCGATACATAGCTTCCATTCCTTCTTCTCATTAGCAACCAAGAAGGAGGCAACCATACTCAGAGAATGAACAGTTCTCCCAATAAAAATAGGTATAGAGAAAGTGCACACTCAACTGGAATACTTACAGGGCTTTAAAGATGTAGAATTCTAAGACAAAATCGATACTGTTAGCTTTAGTTATCAAAACAGTCTTCCACATTTGAGACCATCAATGTCTGTAGTAGCAAGTCTAAAATTCAGCACTACTCTTACTAAGAGCAGAGTTAGAAGTGACTTCAGAAGCAGAACAGTCAGACTATAACATCAAACTAAACAAAGCTTAAAAGCCCTGGGAAAACTTAGCCTTCATTACAAAGCAGCATAAGGAGTTGTGAGGGACCTTCTATGTACAGAAGTTGCCTCAGCCAGCACTTCTCACAACAAACTACACAGTACGTGGGCTTGATATTTCTCTAATTATATAATTTAGAAAAATCTGTCTGCAGTGCCAATTATGTGGCACAAAAGAATTGAAATGGGAGCATGGAAAAACCTCTGTAAGAGGCATTTCCTGCTGAAGTCAGCTATTTTCAGAGCACTATATTCTGTAGGTTAATAGACTCTTTTTCTTGATCTCACCCTGCTAGCCCTAAGGACAGCAAGTCAAAATAAATGATCCTGCTTCAAAAAAAAATGAAGCTAAAATGCAGAACATCCACCATATCAGAAACATTCAATCTAAAAGCTTTCGTGTATGAGCTTCATTATGGCATACTGAATTACTCATAAGGTATCTGCACAAAAGAGAATTAATTCTAGTTTAACTATACCCAAGCCCAAATGCTCCAATGTCTAGGTTTCCTAAATGCACAGTAGCAAACAAGCAAAAAGGAAATATAAAGGCAAATAACAGAATTAAGATGCATATAGCATAGAAGCATCACCTGATATGGATCCCAGGAGGACACTGCTCTTTATGTGTTTGTAGACATACTCATAGCTTTGAGATTTGAGAGGCGATCCTGTAGACAATATAGTATGGAGCGTTTGGAGGTTGTGTGTTTCACCTTTAAAGGAGGAAATCCACAAACTAAGTTCAGGTTGAATCTTCACAAGAGTTTGTAACCATTCAACATACAACCCACAAAAATGATGTAAGATTTGTTTGTGAAAAGAGCTGGAACCTGAGAAGAAAGGCAGGGCAGAGGGTAAAAAAAGAAAAGAGATGCAATAGCTTTCAGAAGCTTACATGGTTTTAAGTTTTTCTCTTCTAGCACAGCAAGCCACTTTGCACCCGTTCCAAGGATGGTGATCCTAGAGGGAGAAAAAGTTTAAAAGTTTTTACATATTTAAATACACTAAGATTCAGAAGGTTGGCAATCCCCATTGCAGTAAGCAGAGGCTGAAGGCACTCCATGCATTGATTAGTCAAGCAATGAAGTCTCCTAAAGCTTTAAGTGCAAGGGAGCATTCCTTTGAGCCATCAAAATAATTGAGATCACGTCATTTCTGTAGCTTTGAAACTTTTAATTCTATCTTTAAATATTAAGCAAAGCCTTCCCACCTCCTGAAAAACGTTCACTTTCATTTACAGGAATTCTTAACAGCTGAACACTCCAAAGACATCACAAAATGTTACAACATTTACTCCATTAATTGGGCATAATTGCCACTGAGCTGTTTAACACAGATCTGCTGCCTTGTTATGCTACAACATATCAAAATTTTGCCGTTTTGGGGCACAGTGGAACAAAGAATACTTCATGCTGAACACAACAGTCAGGGATTTGCTCTGTAGATACATGTTCAGTTCCCACTGATGGAAGTCTGAGCTGCAGATGTCTAACTGAACATGAAGGTTGGCCTAGCTAATTTAATAAATGAATTCTGTCACTGCAGTAAGTACATGCAAAGGCAGTATTCAGTATCTGGCTGCATGTATCCTTGAGAGGGGGGAAGATTCAGGGAGAATTCCTATTTCAGCTGCTTTTGGCTTCTCATTAAAAGACAGTAATCCTATGTTACAACAGTCAGTGCACACATTAAAGCTGAGACATCATGCTTAACATCTTTAAAACTGAGAAGGCCTTTCTATCTCCCAGTTGCACATTACTGGTCTTTATGACAGAGCAATTACATTATATAGGACATTCACAACAACACTGAAGGCACTGTGTTAAATATTTCAATTAATGTAATAAATAAAATATAGCTTTGAGAACGTTGTCCATTTTGCATATTGGACAAATGAGAAACATGACACTCCTCATATCTCCTCACCAGAGCAGTAGTGTGGAGAACAACCTGTGCATCAGCAATAGAAGTACTGAACTGAGCAGATAGCAGGAACCAAAGTTCAAAACCAGTGCACCCATCCTGCAAGATCTGAGAGTTCTGGGATCTGTTCCCTGTGAATGCACCAGGGATGTAACCTATGTCGAATGCAATAACTGCAACTCTGGCTTTCTGATCAAAAGAGACCTTTTAATACATCTCTATCTTTAGCCCTCATAATGGATTAAACACCCAGCTGAACGCTGTGGGGGAAGGGGAAAGAGAGCAAGGAGATGTACCCAGTGCTGATGCAGGAAATGCAGCCCAGAAATACCATCTCCCAGTTGTTACATACTTTCTAGAAAACCAACAAAAACAACAAAGCCCAGCGCATCCTTCCCAATCCTCCAGAAAAGTAATTACTGAATTTGCAAAAACTGAGCTATTTTCTGTAATCAATGAAAGCTAGCACTTAACTATGCCAGTTTAAGAAATCACCAGGCTGAAATAGAATCTTTGTTTACTCCTTTAACAAACAGGCTCTGAGGTCCCATTAATCTCAACAGGAACCAAGAGAAAATTTATGAAGTTGCTCAGAAGCTTCCTATTTATTACCATGGAAGTTACCACAGATACAATGACACTATTCAACATAGAGCAAATTCTCAGCTGCTTCGAAACACTGTTTTTCAACATAGTTCCAACCATTAGCCACTGCCATTTGTCATACAGCAACAAAACGTAACAGACTATTGATGAGAAGATTCAACTTCTACCACCATACCACCACCATCTGCCTCTGACATTGTGAGCAGACATCATAAAAGAGGAGGCATTACTTTCAGAGCAGTTCTGGTAATTTTGGTATTCTAATCAAGTAAAGCAAAAAAAGAGAAAAGAGCTTTCCAATGCAATTTGAAACAAAGGCTCTACCCCTTCCAACTCCAGCAGGAGAAGTGCTAGCTGGATGGTTTTGCTGACCTTCAAGAAGCCTTGCTCCCTGCTAATTCATTTGATATTATAGCAATAAACTCACTCAAGAACAAGAGTAGAAACAACCTAGGATAAGGGATATGGGCTGAATGCACAGAGCTAGGGCAACACATACATCAGTATAACCGAGTTAAAACAAGATCCTATCTTCACTCCAGAGGCAAGATGCAAGGTAGAACAGCACTTGAGATAATTACACCATTTCAGAAATGGAAAGAGAGCTACCCCACTGTCATCAGGGATGCCTTTCTTCACCATTCAGGTGGATGATGATGAGTTGAGAGCCTTCCACCCTTGTGCAGGAAGAAAGAAATTGCCTTCACTTACCATATAGCCCAATCACACCAACCAGTTTTACTCTTGTAAAAATCTCTCTTTTTACTGTATCTTACTTCTCTTCCATGCTTCAGGTTACTTCTTGTTTTATAGATAGAATACATAATACTTCTCTCTGTATTTTTAAAGTCTTCCTCTCCAGCACATATAAAGACTAATCTGCTATTATTTCCTTCTAAATGCTACATAAGTGATGGATAATTACTAAATACAGTTCACTTAAATAGATCTTTCACTGATGTCCACAGAAGTAATTCTTGCTGAGCAGCACATGATAGCATTTTTATAGCATCATCAAGATAACCAAAGGAGAGTATGGTGCATCTTCAGTAAAGTGAGGAAGTCTTAACATGTTGAAGCTTTTTTTTTTTAATATGTAACACATGACTGAGTTGGGAACAGACTGCATTATGAAGTACCACACAGATGGCCACCGCTTTTAGCACCAGATTACAAAAGTGAGACATGCAGACACATTTGAGATATCTTCACTTACTTTTTGGCATGTAGAAACAATGCTTAAAAATAAGCCATCTTATTTCTTGAGTCTACATTTCTGCCTGTTCTAATGTTTTTTAGGGGGTTTGTGGGTAGGGGTGGAAAGTTGTGGGCTTTTTTTTTTTTCCAAATGGAAGCATTCTAACAAGATATTAACTTTCAGTTATAATACCCAGAGACTAAATGACAGTCTTTAAATATTACATGGCACAAAAGACAGAGCAAAGTTTAAATTATTAATTATCAAGAGTCAGAAAGTCAGGCTTTTGGCATCCACCTTCTGCAACAAATTAATTTTAATTACCAACAAAAAAATTACACCCATTTTACTATAAAGTAACAGCACTCAGATCTACACTCCTTACAATCAGTTTGAAAAATGGGTGAATTGCAAAAATCAAAGTTTAACCAGTGTACAGAGCAGCTAAATAGCACCACAGGATTTCAGTTGTTTATCTGATCCCTGTCATTTTCCTCGGATTGGACAGAGGGCACTCTGAGCATTGTTAGGTACAAAGAACTTTGTAAAACAACTAGCAAATGGCTAAGCAGGGAGAATTCAGCATTATAAATCAAAAAGTAAAATATATGGAAATGTAAGTAGCCCTGCTGAGCCTTTCCAGTAAATTTGTCTTGAAGTCAATGTGTTATATTGAATCATACATCAAGTTGCTTGAAACAAAAGATTCTTAAAAGTTGAGTGTTCTAAGAAATTTCTCTTCAGATTGCTCCCAATTACTACATTTTGAAAAGGCTGCTCTCAAAAACTGACTACTGAACCAAAATTCTTTGTTTGCTGGGAATCCAAACACCTGAATCCATTTTTAAATGAACAAACTTAGTCTCTTCTGCTCTCAAAGACTGTTTATAGTGTAAAATTTAAAGAATCTGTTCTACTCAGCATCAAGCCAAAAGATAACGCCACATACAAGCTTTTTACCAAGAAAGCATCTTTAATTAGGTTGGTTTCATGTGAACATTTTAACAGAAGCAAAGACCACATCATCTGACTTAAGATTCGTTACCTACCCTAGTCGGTCAATCAAGTCCCAGAGCACGTTTGGTGATGGAACTAGAGGAGATCCATCATACAAAACCACTGAAGCTCCCGTAGCAAGTGCTGTCACTAACCAGTTCCACATCATCCAGCCAGTCTAGAAAAGAGAAAATATCACAATTACTTTCTATCTTTGTCAGCTACTTGTCCACTTCACTGGCAGTTCTACCACAGGACCAGGATTATTGCTGTCATACAGCTATTCAGGAGCCAGGGGCAACTAGAGAAATCATGACTTTTTGCACAGTCACCTGGCACAAAGCATGCCTCCTGCCCTTGTGCAAGATATGCCATCTACCCCTCCATTTTCTTCATCCAAAGGTTTGAAACTGTTAAACCAGCATGCGAGTTTATATCTCTCTGCTGATTACCTCCAATCACATTGTTTAGAAATCAGAAAATAAGGCTGAGCACTGATTCTCCTCTCACCTGTCCCAAGACTGGATCAGGCACACATTACTAACGAATGCTCATAACATATCCTCATAAATATCTATTGAGATAGGGAATCCATATCTCCCTATACTTTAGCTTTAAAGCATGAGTCACAGTACGGAATAACATTAGGACAGGTAATTATAATTCCTCTGCAGAAGTACTACAAACCAATTAGTGGTGTCAAAGTTTAGAAAGGACAGACTTGAGCTTTCTCAAACTGTTAGAGAAGACTGCAGAATCGTTTTCTTCACTACAACAACATTAAAGAAAACATAGCTGAAGTCCTACAACGATCACTCAGCTTTACTCCTTCCCTCTACTAAACTCAGATGTGCAAATTTTTCCTTCTCCATCAAAACAGAACAACAAAAAATTCTCATCCTCAGTATGGTCAATTACATGATGAAGGAAGGTAGAGTCTGTTTTGCAGATTAAATTGATGAGGCAGTTAGATCAATGACCCTAAGAGGCTGTAAAAATAAATTAGTTTTCCTCACTAATTAGATCAGAAACATTTAACGTAACATTCATCAGAAAGGTCAAATTTTTCACCTAATATTTTATTTATATATTTATGTAAAATCCAGTTAAACAGGATGGTCCTTTACAGAGCAAGAACTAAAAGTACATAAAAATGAATTTGTAGATTTGTGGGAAAAACTCTCAGACTTGTAAGGAAAATGTATTAAAGGCTTTTTAGAAGTGCCTCAGTGAGCCACACTTGCCGTTGTGTAGTACATAATGATGTCACTGCTGGTCATGTTGCCATGAAGAATGTGTTCCTTTAGATGCTGTATTAGTGTACCCTGAAAAAAAAAGTGAAGTAAAAAATTAAGTTTACATAGAAAAAAACAGACAGCACACTCAGTCTTCAAAAAACTAATTTGTCAGTCCTTCACAGGATGCACTCCAGGATTACAGACAAGCATTTCCTCCTAACCACAACTGAAGTAAATCCCAGGGCCTATCTAAAGCAGCAGCAGCAATTGCATTCTCCATTTTCTCACATAACTTTTCAGCCTTTCTCATTAGACCTCAGCAATTCCCACTGTGCATCACTTGTAATTTTGTGGAGTAAACAGCTTTCTTCTCTTCCAGCTCTGTACAGCCATCAGAGTTGCAGAATACTCCATGAAGGCTATAATTTTCACAGTATGGCCTCACCAATCAGATTTGCCAGGTAGATAAGCAGGAGGATTTCATCTTCAGCACATCTAGACAAGTTGGAGGGACCTACAGCTGCTATGAACTGTAGCAGCTATCATTTATTATTCATACAAATCAATTTTCCTATTAACTCTCAAGAAACAAAACACATAACCATACATATAGCTTGTAAATATTGAACTAACTAGCAATATGGAAAGATCTCACCATTCAAAGCATCAATATTAACAGTGAAGCAGTGAAATATCTTCTTTTCACTTTTGTTTTTGAGATCCAGCTGCACTTTCCTAATCATTAACATGTAACATGTTAAGGCCAAGGAAGTTTACAAACTATTTCACTAAGTCGCTCCACTGCAGTGACACAACATGCCTGATATTAAAATAAAGTGGGTTTTGCATTTTTTTTTTCCATTGATGCAATGAGTTGTAGCCTCATGACCATGCAATAAAATTTATGCTAAAAGAAAATAAATTACAGATAAACATTTGAAATGAAAAAGTCATGAGAACAGCATAAACTCTGGGAGAAAAGGCAGAAAACATCAAATAAAACTAAAGGAGTAAATCTGATTTTCTCTCTGGTATGAGGTCCAAATTCGCCTGTTACTGCTTGAATATACTAAGCTGTCACAATGCTGCCATCTAGCTATACACTACTATTATCTACATTTAAAATGTTTATATTTTGGATTTAGAAATGTTATGAATAACTTCTTAGCTTTGCCAAAAGAAATCCAGGTGTTAACATAAAAATCCCATATACAAAAGTATGCATATTACCTCTAGAAGAGCCACATCAAATAGTGAAACTGAAAACCAAATTCAATTAAAATAATATTTTGCTTTCCTTTCATTTAGTTATTACTTTTCCACAGCTCTGGAACCAACACAAAGGTGTGTTTTTCATTTAATAACAACTTTAGGCAGAGGCCATGAACAATTCCCCGAGGAAAAAAACTGGTAACTCTGATAAAAAAAAATAAGCATACTCCGGTAGAGCACAATAAAGTTCAGAAGCTTACAGCCTAACATGCTCTCTCATGCTTATTTATTCAGCTTTTTTCCTTACAGTACTTGTAGGACACTCAAAATACATCTTAAACATTTAGCATTACAGGACATATCTGACAGCTGATAAAAACCCACTGGTCTGGGTGCCTTCACTAGGCTTAACATGCAGCTAATGCAGTGCTGAGCATCTGGAGTGTCAAAGATCAGCCAGGGGGCACTCAGGCTCCTGAATCAGCACATAAGGACAAGTGCCAAGAAGTGAAGTAGCTCAGAGAGCAGCATCTCACGGCTGCTGCATTTTGTTCAACATTCAGAAAGCATGAACTGAAAAAATCATTGGGATGAGGAGAAGGGGCAAAACTAAAAGTGTCCACATGGATAAAACAGGAGGAGAAAACTCTTCAACAGAGATGAATCCTGTTGGTTAATCCACATCTGTGTTTTTCATCTCCCAACTGCTTATCATGCATCACTGAACAGAACACCTGCCCTGTTCTTGCTAATTCATTTCTGCAAGTATTTAACCAGTCTGAAGCCAGCACAGCTTCAAAACAGCTGTCAGACTTCAAAACACATTTCCTTCTTTCTCCAAACATAGGACATGTGTCCCAAAGGGACCATTTCACATGTCACACACTGCCTAGTATGATCTCCTATTGCTACTATACAAAGCAAAGTGTTTGCAGGCAGTGTGGAATTTGTGGGCAAATATTCCAGCCCTTGTTATCAAAGGGAAGCAGTAACACACACAGTGCATAAAGCAACCCAGCCCTAGGGCTGTCTGAATGACTCTACAGGCAGTCTTGCAAGATGCTCACCCTGACTTTCAGAACAACTAGCAGAAACAAAGGACAGCAGCTAATAGTTACACAGCTTAACTAACCAAGTTGGCATGAGGGTTCTAGACAGTACATTCTGCCTGCCTTACAAGTAGAAAAAAATCCCTGCCTTTAATGAAGGGCTATGCCAATAGCAGTGAAAGTTTTACTGTGCTCTGAACTGACAAAAACAGGCAGTGAAATTTAAGATCACTGAAAAAACTGAGATAATAAAGTGCAAACGCCCCATGAGTCTCAAACTTGACAGTGTCCAAAAATTGGTTCCAAGCAGCCATTCAAGTTCTTTCAGCTTGCTGCTGCAAGTATCAGTTGGGCCACTTCTACCAGCTTTGTGACACATACACATTCCCAACAGCTGACATCTCTGAAAGGTCTCCATACCAATCAAATTATTTTGTTTCAATCAGTCAACGATAAATTTGAAAGTTTAATAGTGAGTTACTGAGAAATTGATTACTGTCAGTAATCAATTCCTCCTTGAAGTATGTTAAGATTTAAGATGCTGTTAAAGGAAAAGAAACACAACACAGGGAGTTATATACAGATAGCATAGTTCCATAGGGAAGACATACCCCTGCTGAATGAACCATGCATTTTGGTGCCCCAGTTGTGCCTGATGAATACATGATAAAGAGAGGATGACTGAAAGGCAGCTGTTCAAACTCCAGCTGGGGTGCCTGGTCTCCTTTCCCAGTAGCAAGGAAGTCTTCTAAAAAGACACTGCATAAGAGGGAAGAAAGGGAACATCTCAATGTTTTGTTCATTTGTTTTTTAAAGCATTATCCCAACTCATATATAAGATTAGCTCTATATCTGGTAGTAGCTCTTTTACTATAAACTATATACACAAACTGTATATACTTTTAAATTTTTAGCTGTTGTTCTCTGTTTAAATTGCTAACAGCTCACTCTGGAAATGAGTGTCTGTGTGTTAATCAGTGCTTTGCTTGAAAGAAAAAAAAAAGAACAAGGTTATGTGTAGACCATAAAATACATTACAGTGTGTGTATTATCATGATACTGGAGAACACAACTCTGCCTACCATCATGACAAAGCCAAGAAAAGGCATCCCCTGACCAAAGCACTTTGAGATGGCATACAGAGAGGCAGAAACTGCTGCCTAGCCAACCTCCTTCACATGCAGAGTGCAATGCAGTTCAAGCCCTGATCACCTTTAGCATGGAGACTCTGTTCCCACATTAAATGCCTCCCTGTGATCCCTGAAGATAAAAGAACTATCAGAGTAAACACGGGAAAGCAAGAATGGAAAAATCCAGATCAACTTTTTTTCCCCTCTGCTTTCTCATCCATCCCATGGTACATTCTTGACTTGGAAGGGAAAGATCACGAGCCCTCATCTGAGAACTATTAATACCAACAGGTGGTTAGTAGAAGCAACACATCTATAGCAACATAATATCTATTTCAGTATGAACCCACTTCAAGAAATCTGGCTAAATCCTAGCTTTCACAAGTTGAAAAGGTCATACATTTTCAAGAGATAGCAGTATTCATCCCTAGCTCATTGAGTCACAACTCAAAAGCTCCCATTACCTGTTTGGAATCTTAGAGATATCTATAGTTTCTCTTGAGGAGACATATGGGATCACCACCACTTTTTTTAAATCTGGAAGCCCTGGAAGGAAGAAAGAAAATATTGACCATATTCAGTTATATAAGTCTTTGCAATCCATTTGTATCACACAGTGTAATGCCCTACTACTGAAATAATTCTGATGTACAGAGTATTGATACAGTTTTAGACATTAAAAAAACTCAAAAAAAAAAAATCTGTTAACTACAATTATTGCCAGCTTTTAAAAAAAGACTTAAATGTAAAAATCAAGTTTTAGTGCTGTAAAAGCTTTTCAGTTGTTTTCAGCAGCACTTCACATAGGCATAAAAAAGCAGCATTAACAGCTCCTGTTCCCCCACTCAGACTGCCAGCTAATGCATGCTGATAGAGCTATCAACAGATTTAAACTAAGCTAGCAAAAAGCTATGTTAAAATACTGCAAAAAAAGTTTCCCCTCATATCAGCTCTGCAACTGTAAGTGGCCAAAAAGATATTGTAAGGGAGCAAGGAAAGCAACAAGCAGTCAAAGGTGTCATTTTTAGTGACAATGGAGGCTTTGAGTGCACACAGTTATGGTATAAGGTGTATGCTATGCAGTGAAATACCTTTTACCACACTAAGCAGCTTTTCCAAGTGGTTATGTTCTTTGCCATTATATACAACAGCTTCAACAGAGAAGATGAGCTTAGGCTGAATTTGAGAAAATCTGTCCAGCACACCCTAGGGACAAAGAGAAAAACAAGTTAAAAATGAATTACAAAACAAAACCCACTTGATGTTAAATTCAAGTGTTTTTTCAAGTCAGGAGCAAGGGTAGGACTTGGTAGAATCATGAAAAGACTGCTTGCCCCTGTCCTTCACTCATCCCAAGATTTTCAAGGTATAACATAATTCTAACAACCTATTTCACGTCTTTGACATCCATCAAATCATCTCCATTGAACTCTTTTCCAAGCTGGGTGAGTCAGGGTTGCAATGAAATAATAACAAGAAGCCTACTGCAGAAGTATGGAGGTCTGAGCACAACTGATCTCCACGTTGCCTTGTTAGGAAAGCTCACTGAACACCACACGTGAGGTACAGGGGTACCATTAAAGATGACTAGCAGCTGACTCTGCTGAATGTCACTTTAACATACTTCTTCCTCAATCACTTGAAGAAAAATGCTTTCTACTATGCAGAAAAGCATGAAGGTGCATTTCCTTTTCCTAAATACACATATACACACATGATGACAATGCACTGACATCTAACTATATCAATTAGCTTTAAAAAATCCCCAGGTTCGGCAACAGAACAGGTTTTTAATAAAGCATTAGCACATTAATCTCCAAGGGAGTACAGAATCAAACTTCCATCTGTCTTAGGAATGTTAGCATACTCACTCCTTTGTAACAGAGCTGACCGACCAATGCACACAGTGTGCACGTGTATGTATTCATACACACATGCTGAACACAGATATGCACCCCAAATCCATGCTGCCTATTTAAAAACCAGGGGACTAAGGGTACTCTAACAGAGGAATGAAATCTGAAGTGAAGTGTGGATCAGAAACAGAGGTGACAACAACTCTCAGGGTCTTACTAATCCTGCTAACATACCCAGTCACATTCATTAGCACCAGCAGGATCAAATCCCACAGGGCAGTTTGGTGTGATACAAAGGGAACACAAACAGATGGAACATGTAATTGCTACACTGGAACTTTAATCCAACCAGATGGTTCAGCAAGGAATTGCTTTCATGAAAAGCCCAGGTACACCAAATACGGCTCATTCTATTTGATGGGCCTCAAACCCTGCACTAAGTATTGTGAAGGATCCCACGAATTAAGCCCTTTGCTAAGCCTTACCAAAGGCTCCTCACACATTTCTAAGAGCAGATCCTCTTTTAAAACTTACATATCCATTAATTTCTTACATGCACGGGCCAAAAAGAAGCACCTTCTTGTTAATGCACTTAAATGAATAGCAGGGACAAGAGAAACGAAGCTCAGGCTGCCAAGGGCAGAATTCTGTGTGGGAGGAAACTCACTGCTCCCCTGACAGCACATTTCCTGAATGCTTACAGTCTTTGGATGTATAGCATTCAAAGCTTGCAATGTGTAGGCAGCTCTGAAAAGAGACAGTTCTAGAATTCAGAAAACATATATACACAATTGATTTGAAACGTCAAAAACATGACGCTATTTCCCCAAACACAAAAAATCTTAATTTATGTTAATTAGGCTAATGCAAGTGCACAGGAGAAAAACTTACTCCTTTGGGGAGGAGTCAATCTCCCTGAGGACCTCTCCTGATCTGTTGAGATTTTAGGGTTTGAATTCAAGCCAACACATGCTGCCAAACCAAAGGAGAATAAGTGATACTGATAGCAATGCTGCTCCACAGCTAAGTTTCATTTAAAAAACCTATCACAAAAACAAAACAAAGCTGGGTGCTGAAAATAACAGCACATCAACATGGACAAAAAGCATACCAGGACTCTGTAACACAAACAAAATGAACAATCTCTCCCCAGATGAGAGATGAAATCACACCATAAAGAAAATACTCCATACTGTCATTTTCTATGCAAGCAGAAACAAGCAGAAAATATTTGTAGAACAGATTGATCATTACATGCTGCAATGATTTTTTTTTTTTTAATCATTTTTCTTTTCCAATGACAGAACCTCAACTACAAACCAACGGAATGCTGCTGCCCTCTAGTGCTAACCCACAGACAGCAGCTCCATACATATAACCAGCTACTGGGATCATGAAGTGAGATTGAGGGGTATACACTGCCTAAGAACTCTGGTAGTTTCTGCATTCTGCAACGTACAAACAGTGTATTTTCCAAATACTTTCACTCAAACCATTAAAACAGAAGAAAGATTCAGCACTCTATTTTAAAAGCAGTTTGTTACTGTTTTTGATGTGCTAAGGGTTATCCAAATAAAGCAGAAAGTATACCCAAACCTTCCAGGGTACGCTGTAATGTCTGTTTGGGTATCATGACATTTTTTAGCCTTTTTTTCTCTATTTTTCCTATTCAATTTTATTCAGAAGCTACAAAGTCACTCCACGTACACTTGTCACGCCCAGTGATACTCATTCTTCAGGGCCTTGAGAAAATAAGTTGACAAGATGCAACAAAAGCTCACCAAGATTATGAATTGTCTGAGAGTCTCCCAGCATTGAGTTTGTTGAAGATACTCAAACTACTGTGCTGCAAACCCTTACTGCCATCTGAAAGCATGGGGTTTTTGCTCACTTTGTAGCAGCTAGAAAAAAGTATCCGGTGTGCCACAAGGTGGCAGTAAGACTAAAGAGAACAGCATCCACCTGCCACTAATTTGTCCTCCTCACCTCACTTTTGTCAAAAACAGTGACAGCTTTCCTGAAATGCACAACAGGGCTACTCACGTTAATGCCAAAGTCTGGTGATGTTGAACTCCAGATAGCACCAATACTCGCCGCAGCCAGCATCGCTTCTACTGCATGAATGCTGTTTGGTAAGTAACCTATGGTGGAATTTGAAGGGTTAGAGATGGAACAAAAACTACGAAAGCTCACAGGAAATATGTATATAATAGCCAGTTGGCATAGAGAAAAAATGAAAGTCGTAGTCTGAAGCATCCTTCAACTCTGCAAGTTTGCCACACGGTCATACTGTCCTCCTTCAAAGTCCACGCAGTTCATTCCTGTGTCACTAATTAGAGTTCCATTTATAAAGACTTACATCAGATTTTATAACTACAGAATTATTTCCAATTTACAAAGATTTCTGCTCAATTAATGAGGCCTCCAGGACAAGAGGGTAGCATATTAAAGAGAGAAACTAAGAGAAAGTAAATTTATGGACTAAGTAGGTTACATAGAGTCTCTGCACAGAGTACTGCACCATTGCAGGTCAGGGCATTAGAAATACAGCTGTTAGGAGAAACAAACATCTGGAAGGAAAGGTGAATACTCAGCAGTGCTTAGAAAGGCAAGGCTCTCAAAATAAGAGAAATTTGGCTGCTGATCTTGTAAGGCTCTCTTATGCAAACAGGTTATGTCACAGACTTCTCTCTTGTATTCCGTCAACACTTTCTGTACCTAGCCATTTAATTGCCTATAGAAAGACATATTTCTTTCCTTTGCTTGGCACAAATGGCAAAGAACATTGTTAACAGATCAAGAGACTTCTGTTCCTGACTTCATTCTAATTGTAATCAACACGAGATTCAATATGTACAGTGCATCAGAAAACAAGTCTTCCACGAAGGGACACAAAGCAGGAGGGTGGCCAGTGTTTTCTTCAAGTTTTTCCTTTGCATTTGAAGTACATTTATGATCAAAAGCAGAAAATCAGCTTCACACAGCTGAGCTTTGTTTGGTAGAGACTACCAGAGTCTTAAATAGAAACAAGCAAAACCGGAGTGTGAGCTGATAAGGGAACACGGTGGGACAAGCCCTGGAACATTCCAACACAAATGTAAATCCTCAGCTTTACTGCTAACTTGCAGCAAGCCTTCAAGATTTCAAGTCACTTTATTAAAGCACACAGAAGAAATGAAAGTCAAGTTAGACTTCCAATGGGCTCAATTGGAGCAGCCCTCCACAAAGCCTGCCATGGCACTGAGACTGACTCAACTGATCCGAGTCCAACCCACATCAACAGCATGCAGCTGGAATTCACACTGAAACCACCCTAATGCAGATCAAAGATCTGCAGTTTCAGATAATCCTTTTTAAGCAACTGAAAGATGTCCAAGTACTTTAAAAAGGCAAACGACAGGCCTAATTATTTGGACATCTAATTAGAATTCAGTGTTTGAAAGCAAACTCAAATGGCCTTAAAAATGCTTTCTAAGCCATTTCTACAAAAGGGGTGAGCACAGGGAGATCTTGGACTTCTGGGCAAGTTGCAGCACTGCAGAAGTATCTGCCAGGCAGCAGAAACTCAGCAGGGCCAGGCACTTCTCAGTGAAAGACATCCGTGAAAGTTTATGGAAGTGTTTTTCAGGACAGGAAGTAAATCATAGATCTTAACAGCAGTTTATTGTGTTTTAACTTCAAGTAAGAGGGTGCTGAGCTTGATTCTTGTCAAGTTGTCTACTCAGCTTGAAAATCTATTCTAAAGGTAAAGCTATTAGATTAGAATTTTCTTCACTGTGATTCAAAACCTGTGAAACCAGTCTTTCAAACCAGCTTGACAATTCAGTGAGCTGCTGTGCTTCTGGAAGCAGTGGAACTTGGAAAACAGTGTTATGATTTGGACCCAACAGCTTATTTAAAAGAAAACAACTGAATGAAAACCTCATATCATTAAAATGCAAATTACTGCCTAGAGCTGTGTACAACTTGTAATGCTTTGTTCAGGGAAGTTCTTATGTACATGAAGTGCAGCAAAGCCTCAAGTCCATAAAGGCATATCTATTTTGCTATCTCTTTGTTAGGGTCAAAAGTTTACAATATGAAGTACAGCTTCCCAAGATTTGACTTTTTTTCTTTTCAGATAAATCTCCTTTCTAGAATAATAATTTGAAGTGTATGAGCCATTCTAAACCACCAACTGCCTGATGGAAACATTTATTCTTAATTGATAGAATGTAATTCCACTGAGCCTTTTTTTGGAGGGGGTTTTGCTGTAGTACAGCCCACAGGTAAGCAAAAGATGTCTCTTCAGGCTTTGGAGCTGTTTGATTACCTTGCCAGAGCTTACAAGCATCACTTACTACAGGCAAGTTCTCTTCACTCTACAGAAGCCCACAGGGCAAGTACACAAGTCTCTGCACGTTATGGCGAGCCAGACAATTAAATCATTACTCCCATTTGTCAGATGGCTTCGAAGTGGTGTTTGAGCAAATCAGCCGAAACTGCCAAAAAGTATGAAGCATGTAAAGCAACTTACTCTGCATTCCTCCACCTTTATCTGATCAATGTAGGCAGGCAGCCTGGTGAGCAGGAATTTCACCTATCTGTCACAATGCCCAACACCAAGAACTGTGAGTAAAGATGTAGTTCTGTTCTAGAAAGAGATCCTTCCAACACAGCACTGTAAGAACTCATCCTGCTCATCTCTCAATGGCTTCCAAATTTAAGGGACACAAACTGCATCTCCCCCCAGTCTTTCTTTACCTAAAGGGAGCCTACAAACAGGAGGGAAATCAACTCTTTGAAAGGGTGAGTGACAGCAGGACAAGGGGAAGGGAGATTTAGGTTGGATGTCAGGGGGAAATTCTTTACGGAGAGAGTGGTGAGGTACTGGAACAGCTGCCCAGAGAGGTTGTGGATGCCCCGTCCCTGGAGGTGTTCAAGGCCAGATTGGATGGGGCCCTGGGCAGCCTGGTCTAGCATTAGGTGGGATGGTTGGTGGCCCTGCGTGTGGCAGGGGGTTGGAGATTCATGATCCTTGAGGTCCCTTCCAACCCTGGCAATTCTGTGATTCTGTGATTAAAACTGGATTCTCAGAAATACAAAGTGATTTCTTCCTTTCTCACAGAGATCCTGCAAACCAGTTATAGCAAGCACCATGCATGACACATTCCCTGCATTTGGTTATGGCCCTTGAGGTACCAACCAAATCCTTAAGAAGGAGCAGAAATGATGGTCTGTTACTGGAAAGGAGGATCTTCCTGTCCCTTTGGGTGATCAAGAAAGGAAGTGAATTAAGGGTACAAAACACAGGAGCTGGGAACTCACAGCAACTAAGGACTGAGTTTGTAGTAGCGGGGGTCCTAGCAGCAGAACTCCTCACCCATAAGTATACATAACAGTTTTGTAAGAACAAATGAAATAAAAACTTTCAGAAGAAAGTGATAAAAGCCTCTATTAAGCAGGACAAGTGATCTCTTAGCAATACTACATGGATCACTTTAAGAGGTACTTACAGCCTCATCCATACTGGACAGCATTTGTCCAGTACTTTATCAGTAAAATAGGTGGCATCTGTGGTCCAAAAATTCCTGGCATAGTCATGTTGGCAAAAGTCTTGATTTCCTCTGAGTGCTGTGAACAACTCCCCTGAAGGCACCCAGCAGCTCAGAGCAGAGCCTGCACTCAGCAGCACAGGCATCCAAACATTCCTAGCTGTCTGAATGAAAGAAGCACAGACCTGGCACCAAAGATGTACCACAAGCCTCAGAAGAACATGCTGGGAGGAAGTCAGGAGCTGCAAGTAAACACCCTCCCATGTCTCGTACTACATCTACATTAGTTCACAAAGAAAGTCAATTCGAAGACCAGCCTCCCAGCTTCTCTTCCTGACATTAACGTAAGATCTGGTATTCCTGTAGGATTTTGCAAGGGTCATCCCACCTAGCATTACTGTGGCCTGAGACTATTAGTAACATGCTAATCTTCTTACAAAGCTAGCTTTAAAACCCACGTAAGCAACCAGGGCTAATGCAGTTACTATAGATAAATTACCAGCTTTAAACAATGTAACTCATTGATGTTTTGTTAAGGATTTTTGTGTGAACACATGGGGAAGATTAGTTTGTTGCACAGCTGACTTGTAAGAGGACAAAGCTGGCTATGGGATAATAGCAGCAGAGTATCTGGAGACTGATAGCACAGATACTTCCAGTTTTATTTGACTCCCTCTGCAGTGTTGCTATTTGCCAAACAGATGGCCAGTGGGAGACCACAAGCACTTCACATTTGGATTTGTGTAACTTGGATTAGCCATTGTATCTGTCTCCTCCAGCTGTTCAGATACCATGGACAATACTGCAATGCATCTTTCGAAAAGAGATGTTTCACTATGCATCTGTTTCAATTATGTTTACTACTAAGTGCCATCTCATTAGTGATAGAAATGGAAATCTAAGAAGAAATCAAACTGAGAAAGTGCTGACATTGCTGCTTGTCCACCCACACTCACCCATCTCCAACTTAAATTGACTATTGCTGTCATGATGCAACCATAAAATGTACTGATCAAACTAGGGGATATGTTAAGTAATGAAAAGTTAAACTAGTCTCATCTCAGAGGTGGTAAAGAATGGAAATTAAATTCACAAGAAAAAAAAGAGCTATAATGGTCCTGTATGATCCAAACAGCTCAAGACTAAGTAATTTTAAGAGAAAATGGCAACAAAGGGCATCAGAACTTGGCAGGTTGAGTAGGAGTTACACAACTGAAATAAAATTAGTAGAATATGTCCCTTCCATTTAAAAGCTGATTTTCCAGAAACAGCTAAAGTATGCCCCTTATTATACTTCTATAAGCTATGTGAAGAATCACACTTTATGCCATCTGCTACAAATTCTGGGAGAAATCAGGCCCCAGTAGCTTTTGGCAAACACTGGAGAGCCTCATCTTTGATACCACAAGGGGCTGTAGGACTGAAGCCTTCCCACCCAACACTTATCTCTCTTCCATGTCAATTTAGGGTTTGGAAAACAGCCAGTAGATTCAGCCTCCAACTGTGAAGTTGCGATTCAGCTCTCCCAAGGACTGCCAGTATCCTCTGGCATAGGAGAGACACATATGAACAAAGTTGAGACCCAATTTCATATATATGTGTGCATGTACAGCCCAATTGCTGTTAAAATCCCCACCAGATTTCTTTCAGATGGAAGCTCTCCCTAGACAGAGGCCATCATCCAAGGCAATGCAATCTGTCAGTCAGGAGTCTTGGACACCAGGGACAGGGAGAGAGGGGGAACTGTGCAGCAGACTGAGTGTTAGGAGTTGGTATGGGTTCATCTGACTGGAGTTTGGTGAGGAAAGATGTCTCTCAGCAGCCAGAGTAAGAGGGAAGGGCATGGAAAAAATTAGAATGCAAGATATCGCAAGTTTCATACCAAATTTTGATAAACCATGTTCTTAAAGGAGCAATCAAAAGGCAATACCAAGGTTAAAAAAAAAAAAAAAAAAGGTAAAACCATACTTCACAATTAATCCTAGTAGCTGCTATTTAGGAAGAAGTCTGAAAGCAGTTTACGTCAAAATCTCGTAGGTTGGACAGCAGGAAGTGGACAGAAGCAGCACAGACTTTACAAGTGAACCAACCTCCCTCCCTTCCTCCATTTTAAGTTGTCAGGACGAGCACAAAAGTAATTTATAAGAAATTCCATAACAGGACAACATTTGTGAAAGAAGAGCTTTCTATAGTAATTCAAACATGTTAATAATTACAAGGCTTAAAACAGAGTCAGAATACATCACAAAAAAATTTGTCATTGATTTTTTCAATGCATGCTTGCTTTTTGTTGTTGTTGTTTGTTTTAATAACTGCAACCCCACTGCATTTTGCACCTCCTCTTGAAATAACTAGAAGCCCAGGTTTCCCATTGGAGTCAACACACACTTCCTCCTCTGAGAACAGGATGCTGGAGTGGAAAGTTAAATCCTACCTTTTATGTGCAAAGAAGCATTGACATTAATGATGAATTGTCAACAGAAACTTGGAATTGCTACCTTCTGCAAGCACATCAATGATTCTTTTTGATTAAAATAAGCAAAGAGGTGAGCCAACTGCCAAAACAAATAAGATTCAGAAGTCAGCCAGCCTCCCATTGTGCTAAGCAAAATACACTCATTAGCCAGAAGAAATTGTTGTTGAAGTTATGATAATAGTAGTAATAACCATGCTAATAACGTTGACTACAATTACATTTAAATAGCACATTTTCTCTTCTCCAGCTACAGAGAATACTTCTCCTGCATATTACAGGAGCTTAAGTTCTATTTGCTCACATGGTTTCACACAGAGGCCACTGCTCCTCAACAAGATGTCAGATACAAATATGACTATGTTAAGATTGAAATGAAAACAAAATTTGATATTAAATTCTTCATTCAGGCAGATCTTCCTGACTTTGATGGACAGTTTATACTAGATTAAGAACTTGATTCTATGTAAAATAGCAAGCCCATAGCTGTGATAATTAAATGTTCAGTTACAAGCTCTGCAGAATATTCATAATATACACAAAGTATGAAATAGCTTGAGTGTATTTTACAGCCACATTTGTAAATCATATTTATGTGTGTAATAAAAGATCATGATGCATACCCTTCTGGTTTTGAGGACATGGGCTCAGGTTCAGGTTTATAAAATGCAACAAAACAAACCAAGTAGTTTCATCACTTTGGGTTTGCACCATACAAGAATTTACAAAGACTTCGGACAGTTGCCAAGTATTGCTCAAACAACGTGTGATTCCAGCAGTAAGATGGATAAGCACATCAACACAAATACCAGGTAGGCGTCAAGGGAGCTTCAAGGATACTGCAGGTTTGACTGACAGAACCACAGAATATGTTACAGACTATGCAGAGTGTATATATGGAGCAGATCAACTGCAGATCAAAAAAAAAAAACAATTCAAAAGCAAATGGACTTAGGCCAGCTTCAGTAATGCCTGCATACTGTACAAGCTGTTCATAAGAAAAAGACATTTGTATGGAAAAATGTGTATGAGTCTTAGGACTGAGAATCTTAAATTACTCCAGAAAACATTATGAATAACTGAAATCATGCCAGGGCTCTAACTGCTAAACCTGGCACTGGAATGACATGAAAAGTTACTGCTCATCAGTTTATTCACTACCACCATTCTGGTGGGAGTCCCTGCTCCCAAAAGCACTGATGGCACAAAGTAGTACACATCTGTTCCTCAAGAACTGCAGCTCACAATGCAGTGCATTACCTGGGGCTGTAGGCAGTGTAATTGCCAGCTGGCACCACAGCACACAACCTGGCATCCTAATTTCCAAGACTGTCCCAGTGTGACTTTGCTGAATACGGTGAGTCAAAGCTCAGCTACATGCACAGTCTCCAGCACTTTTGCTTCTGTGGAGCACTTACGAAGCAGACCTCAAAAAAGCTATGAATGAGGTATTCTCCTTCCCTCTACAGCACTTTACTTCCAGGCTAATCCAAGTTCCTTCTCTCTAGAAGCATGTCATACAAAATTAAGGAAACAGCTCTTTTACTCCTACATTTAGAATGTTTCTATGAAATAGAAATTCATGATCAAGTGTTTATAGCTCTGCTCATCTGAAACGTCAAAAAAAATTTATTTCCTCTCCTTTAAAAAAAAAAAAAATACTTACCCACAACTCTGTCTCCTATTTTTACTCCCATCTTTCTCATGGCTGCAGCATACAAAGCCACAGCTTGTCTCAGTTCTTCAAAAGTCACTTTCAAGATTTCTTCCTTGCCTTCCTCTGAGGAAAGAAGATTTATTAAAACAACCAGTCAGAAAACATACACTACAACCTAGAGTCAGTATAAGCAACTAATTACGGAATTAAAAGAAAATGAAGCAATTTTAGGAAACCACTTTCCACTAATATCTACTCTTCTGGATTTTTGAGTTCCTCCTATGCCTTTCATTTTGATGGGAATCCAGTATTAAGTAGTATTCACTCAGGAGACGTGAGAAACTTTCTTAAAAATTGGAACTTCCATCTGAAAATGCAAGCTGTTCACCAGAGATAGGTGTATTCTCAGAGCATTCAAAGTAGAGTGCACCTACCAAGGCTACTTTCTAACATGGAAAGAACAGCCTCATTCTCCCTTCTTGCTCCACTTTCTCATTAGGTCTAGAAAGTGATAATAAGGTGTTAATTCTGTTTTATTATGTCAGGTTGCTGATGAGAAAAATCACAGGACTTTCAATGTGTTTTTCTTAGAATATCTGTTTGCCAACATACCACAAAGCAAATAAACTAAACTGGGCTCCATTCACGTCCAAGAAGGTCTGCAGGATATTTTTATTACTATACTGGATGTCAGATGGTACATAAGCAGCTAATAAATCACTCATGAAACAAAATGAACAAGTTAAATGTTAGGAAAAGCAAAGTTTGTCATCTTAAAGCCCTGCAATTCTTTAGCCTGGTTTCTGTAAACCATTTGGCCCATCCTGTTTCCAGTATCAAGTATTTCTCATCAAAACACAGATCGGGAGCATTGCAACAAAAATGCACTGTGTGCTGTGGTACAGCAGGGCTTTGCTGAACAGCTACAGTTATTTCCCTTAAGCAGTGAACAGTCTTGATTTCTTAGACCTCTGTTCAGGTAAATTTAGTCCTACATGGAGCAAGAGAGCACGTGGTGCTGGAGAGAAGTACAGAAGGAAACAGTGTAGTTTATAAACTGAGCAGCACATCTACAGATTTTGTGTTCCCCTAGAACAACAGGGAAGAGGACTCTGATCTTTCTTCATGACAAATGAAGGTTTAGGAAAGTTGTATTTCTGTTTTTGTGCTCTATCAAACCCACAGAGCTCCCACAGGATCAATCCCAGTGATTTCAGGAGCCTGACACAGGTTTCTTAAGCACCACTCTGACCTAGCAGTGATTGGTTAATGAAAAATACTCTGACTTAAGAGATCTTAAGAAGATTAAATATAGCAGGTCATGTAAAGAGGTGCAGGTGCAAGTCTGTCCCTCACAATGAAGTAAATGCATTCACTCTACTTGGGCACTGACACACTATTCAGTCAGAAAAGAATTTTGCTCCTTTTGGTTTCATTCCCTATGATTAAGTTACACAAAGCACAGAGTGAAATCCATCATTTCCTAACAGGAAACAAGATCTTTACAGACAATGTAAATATATATCAAATAAGTAATTCCACCAATAATTTAAACCACTGGTATTTAACTCTACTTTTTCTAAAATTGCAGCATGTCTAAATTAACATTGAGAACTTCACCATGGACTTTTCTGAGCTATCTACATTCCAAGAGCACGTCTTCCCATTTTTTGATGAGCTCTACCACCCATATTCTGTGGAACTGCCACTTCTACTTCCTTTTCTGCTCACTGAAGCCAGTTTATTGCAAGCTTTCATCAAAAGCAGGGCTGCTTTATAAGCACTATAACTCCTATGAGTTATAAATAAATACCAGAAAGCCATTCAATCATACTCACTTGCTGCATACAGTGCAATTTTGTCATTGTCCTTGTGCTTCAGAAGATTTTCTGCATAGTTCAGGCGACTTCCTTTAAACCACTCTGGGACATCTGCAATACTTTTGGACGTGTCAACCACCTGGAGAAAAGCATAATACAGCTAAAGAGAAAACTGTAATATCACTTCATGTTTAAGACCATTCTACAGATATTAGCTAGGTAATTTCAAGAAAAAATGATTGCTCCCAGTTTGCAGATGGCAAACACTAGAACTATAATTAAAGGCCTAGAAAAATTAAGGAGTTGTCAGCAAAGAAAGCCAACACCAGAACAAGACTGGGAAGCATTCCTTGCTGACAGTACTACCTCCAGACTAGCCTTAAATATACAAATGAACCAAAACATTACAGCCAGTCTGCAAGATGCATACAAACTGCTAGAAAGCATGGAAGTACTCCACAGCTTCATTCAGAGAGCAAAAGCTTCAGCAGCCTGCACAAATCACATCACAAACAGTGCTCACAGTTCTACCATCCTTGTTTGGTGTTTTCCCAAAAACTGTCCCAGTAACCCAGTAACCCTGTGTTGGGTAGCTTCCAACTTAGGAAAAAGGAACACAAAGAATTGAGAAATACAGTACACAGAAGTCCCCAGAACATATTCAGCTGAAACAATAATTCCCCCTCATGTCTTAAATTTAGTCTCAAATATTAGGTTACCTGTTATTAAGTTGCAGGTAAGCGTATGCCCTTAAAAGCAGTGACAAAGAGCCCCTAACATTACCCATGAGTGTCTGCAGCCCTCTCCCCTACATGTCCCACTTTTTAGAAATTCCACTGCCCAGCAGCACGCATTCTGTGCTCTTTACACTGCAGCTTTATTGCATCTGCTGTTTATTTTCTAAGTTGTGCTTTTGAAAAGCTCTGTTCATGCCCCTTCTAAGGGCAGCACCAGCAGAAGGTGCTGGAGACAGACAGCCCAGTGCCTCAACAGAGAACACCTACAACCCCATGTCAAACTCAGTCCCTGTGGTACTTTAGTATATGCACAACTTGTTCTCCTCAAGGAAGTTTCTGCTGCTTGCTGGTAATATCTCCTATTTATTTAGTGGAAGATCATTACTAGTTCTAGCATGGATATGGAAAGTTTTGCAACAGCCCTTTCATTTACACTTCAGAGTCACACAATAAATGCTTCGCAAGCTCTTGGGAAAGGGAAGAAAATGTACTCCACAGTATTGCTAGCTGCAATCCTCATTAAATGAGGATCATTAAATTTTGACTCTTACAGCAGAGGCATAAAAGGCCAATTTATGTGGTTAGGCAGACATGGCAACTGTCAGCTGCACTCCCACATCCAGGTGCTGTTCTGTAACTGCTCTGCACAGCAGTCACCACATCCTTAGCCTCAGCAGTTAAGAATAAGCACTGTATTGCAATACCCTCTGTCCACCTCGCTGCCACATTTCTCCCACATGAAATGGTTTGCTTGCCATGCTATCACCATCCCACAGATTATGTTTACCCTTAGCAGAGAGTACAGCTTTGAGAATGTATTTGACCATTATCATGAAAAACTATCATTGCCTTGCACTGTGTACATGGGATATTCTGTAAGACCTGCAGAGCAAAGCAGCACACCTCATGAAAAGCAAGAGCAGATACCATCAGAATGCTCAAAGCAACCCTTCCATAGGAAGGACAGCTGTCAGGTACTTCTCAAGGAGAAGGAACTTAAGTTTAAGCTACATTTCTCACTTAAAAACTAACAGCTACTTGCATTTTGATATCGTGGCAGTGCTGCCACGTCAGGATAGCTTCATATGCTGTGAGTACCTTTGTTCTTATCAAAAGTTACATGGATACTTAACTCCTCCACCAAGTTTAAATAAAACACTGGCTGTCTGTGTTATATACAGCATTTTATTGTTATTCCAAGAATGACTTACAGAAGTAAGGGATGTTTCTAGCCAGCAAAACAAGAGTCAACTCTAGTTTGTGAAAACTTTTATTCTCAAAGGATAACACTTACTTCCACTGAGCAACAGGGATCAAGCAGTAGGACAAACGAAAGCTCTTAGCTATCACACAACAGCTCAGTTACTGTGAGCAGCATTTCCTCCTGATATCCACCAGAAATTGATTAAGGATTACCAGCAAGTCAACTTCAAGGCTTGACTCTAGCTTTGAGCCTTGATGTTGAGCCTCCTACACGTTCACACAGATAAAGATACAAACATACAACAAGCCCTGTATTACACCAAGTATATTCGTCTGCAGTACTTGCCTATATCTCGAACTTCATCTCTCCCCGTTTAAAGACCCCACATCACAGCAAGCCCCTTCTTGAGAGTTTCCAGGCCACTGCATGCCTACTCTACAAGAAGTCTAGTTAAAGCTTTCCTAGGCAACCCTATCTTTCAGCTTTTCATCCTCAGGAAACATCCCCTTTTTGGCTACTATTGCCTTTTTCACTTTTCCTTCCAGCTTGTTGATTACTGATGGTGCCTTGAGGGACAGTCTACCAGAAACGTGAATCCTGTAAGACAAAAAAAACAAGAATTACTCTTCAGTTTGCTCAGAAAAAAGGTAAAAGACAGTTCTGAACTGCTTGCCTAGGATAATTGACATTCTCATGGAAGTTCAGAAAATAGCCTTGCTAACAGCACAGAATACAGAGAGAGGGAAGGGAAGGGATTATATCCCAATTACAATCTGGCTAGATTTTGAACTACTGCTTACCAAAAAGTTATTAGAATGACTAGTAGAGCATCTACCACCTTCAAACTACACCCTTAGGCTAGCTCTTCGGTTCTAAATTCACTCTAAGGACGTTAAGACACCTAAATTCACTCTAATCACATTAAGACACCTAAACATGCAGTTTCACGGCAAGAATTCTGGAGAGTGAATCTCCCGACCTATCATCTCATGCAGTACAAAAACTTGCAAAACAGGAAAAGGTAAAGAAACGTACCTGTTTCCACTGCAGAACTGCAAGCACTCCATGCTTTTGGTACAGGTGGTCTCCAGGGATTAATAACCAAGTCCAGTTCCTTCTCTAGAAGTCCCAGGAAGGTTCTTCTGCATTAAGCTTTTGAAGTGATTAGTCAACCTGTGCCTTCCTCAGATGAGAAGCACAGGCTGGTGCTGATATCCCATACCAGGACTGCAGAAGGATTCCAGCTTTGTCTTCCATTTGCAAGAGGAAGTTTCCTTTGTCTCAAAGCAATGCTGCAGCAAGGTCTGCTATTCCGTTTGTGATTGTGTTCAACTGCTATCATTTCCTCAGAGATATTTCCCCTCTATCTGACTGTAAGTAGTTCCAGAACCAGTCCCACAGAACTGGTGGGTAACAGGTACACTTACCAGGAAGGCTGACTCAGAGAATATAAACACGAACTTAGGGGTGTGCCAGCATTTCATGATATACTATCAGCATAACTCTGAAGCAGAAATCAGTTTATTGATAGACTCCTTATAATCTGCCAGGACTGCCAGGTTATTCGAGAGCACATAACCACTAAAGAATTGTGTAGGATAACAAAATTTGAGGATTTCACCATACTAGAATTTATCAGCAACAAAACATCACAATCTACTATGCAAGGAAGTTCAATTTTTCATATTAATGGAGGCAGGTTTCAGCAGCAGTTCAAAAGACCAGCTGTAAAAGTGGCTGATCTCCCCTTTGTGTTGTACTTGATTAGTTAACAGCAGCTCACCTCATCATACAGGCGAGAGCACACGATGTTACTGTACTTCCAGAATTCTGCCCAGAAGTCCGCAAAGGATTCCACTGACCACTGGTATAAGTCATTGTAGTTGGCTAGAAGTAACAAACAGCTGTTAGTGTTACACAGAATTACAGGAATGTAGACCAACTATACCTAGGAATGTCCTAAATCAAGAAAAACTGTATCACTCATGGCTCAGCTCCGGCCAGCTGCAGGTCACTCTGGGGGAGCTGGAACTGCTTCTGACCCTGCACTGGGCAGCTGCTGGGCTCTGCTCACAGAGGCCACCCCTGCAGCCCCCCACAACCAAACTCTTGCTACACAAACACAACACATTGTTCAAGGCAAGTGACTATGGCATCAACAGACATAGTGTGACTTGAACAGATGGCATCATTTCACCTGACTGCTTTACGAGCCATTTGCAACCAAAGAGACAGAGAGGGACCTTTTCTAATAGCTGTGCTACATCATGAATTGGATCCACTCGCTGTCTAACAGCACCATATGAAGCAAGAACACATTATTCCTCATCAGTGAAGGGTGAGGGATAGAATCATTTTCATGCTCAAACAGCATTATTGTCTCCTGTGACAAAACAAGTTCACTGGCCAGACATAACAACCATGAGGGGGCATTAAGAACATGGCAATGAGCAGCTGAAGTTTCACACAACAGACAGATGAAGTAACCTGAGGAATCCATACAAAAATTCCAATACAGCAATTCAAGCTGAAATTCAGAACTGTAGCATTCAACACATCAAAATGCAGTGTGTAAAGCACTTTTGGGTATGAATAGCTGAAGCAAATTCCTCATTCCTCAACTTACATGGCTTGAGGATGTCATGTCCCTGCTCCCTGAAGCTGTGCCAGCAACCAAGTTAAACAGAGTATCTGCCATCAGTAGAGGTAGTAACAGTTTCCTACCTGCCAACTGTTTCCTATTTGACGCTTTCAACTAAACCGATTGAAGTTATTTTCTCCAATTATCTTTGGCTTGTCAGCCTGTTATCTACCTGATTAAAAGTCACCTTTGTCTTCCTTCTACAAGGAAAACGTCTTTTAGCCTCATAAGAGAACATCTGAGCCATCTCTACACCACTATTCACACAGTTATTGCTGTTTCCCTACCCAGCCCACCCCTTTCACATCATCTTTATCAATGGAAGATTACTCCTCAGATATTGATATAGCAGAAAGTCAAACTTGACATGGTGAAAGCAAAGAATGTCCCTTGGTCAGGACTCCACTATTACCTATATGCTGCCACCAGCTCAGCCTCCAGTTGCGTTTTCTTAAAGGAAGAACTTCCACCCAAATTAATCTTTGATATACTACTCATTGTCCATAAGTTGATATGAGGACAGGTTTGACTAAACTCATCCCCCCCTTCCTCCCCTTCAAAAGGAAATTGCAGCACGTGCTCCAAACCATTCAGTAAGTGCTACAAACACCACCACCACCAATCTGGTTTCTTCTAACACAATCCGCTTGCTCTGTCCTGTCTGTGCAGTTTGTCCCCAGATGAGCTTCAACACAAGTCCTTCAGGGCCCAAACCTGTTACTCAGCAATTAAAAGTTGCATTTCATTGCTATGTTTCAGGGTTGGACAGAGCTGTGCTGTTTAAAGGGCTCTATTGCCTTTGGCTGTCCTCAGTGAGGCCACATCTTGATATTACATAAAGAATCCATTCTTAGTTGCCGAATAACATGCAGACCAGTGAATATCAGTTCGTATCTAATGGAAGTTGACAAAGGTTCCTATACATAGGAATCCATTTTGAAGTGGTAGCAGCATTGAAATGAAGAGAAAAATTCCAGCTCTTTTAACTAGAAATGTGCACAGCCCACTTGAAACTGCATTTGTTCTCAACCATTGGAATAGCAGTTGTGACATCCCGACTCAAGGCTTGGCTGAAATCCTGCAATAACTTCTTTCCAATGTAGCCAAAGATTTGGGCACCGTGTTTACAACAGCAAAACTTTAACCTAGTATGCCTGGACATTAAGTTCCTTATGAAGATGGCTTTTCAGAGGGGAACTGATTGCTGGACTACATGCTCCAGAACAGCTGTATGCACTACAGACATTCATATGGACAGATGAACCAGTGAGACCACTTGCCAGAACTGCTCCCTCCATTCCTCATCCCCTGGCAGAGGGATAGGAACTGAAAAGCTACACAAGCAGCCCAGTGCCTAAACACTGAGGGTGTCCAGCCAGCACCAAGCAAGGCAGTCACAGATGTGAGCTCAATCCCTGTCCCAAACACGGCTCACACCACGGATGTGCTCCAGAAGCCCTCCCTACTGGTTCCTGAGACCTTCAGCACTGCTCACAGCCTGCACTCAGTAAAGACGACACTACCTGGGTTTGGAAGACCCCTCCGGAGGCCTCACCACCCACCCAGAGCAGTGCTAAACTCAAAGCCGGTGGATCAAATCAGAAGAGCACACACCAAGACACAGCCACACGGTTGAATGGGCACGAAGCAGAGCTTGAAGAGCTCACACAGTAACCTCACCTCCACCACCGAGCCAACATCACATCTCCCTCCCCAGACCTTATAGAGGCTACAAACGACGACGCTCCTTTCATAAGCAAAAAGAAAGCAAGCACAGCCTTCATTCCCGCACCCCGTTGAGTCTCAAACCCCTATCTCCCCCCTTCCCTTAGGGACCCCCAGCCCAGTGCCGCCCCGCGATGCCCGCAGGTACCGCACAGCTCCGTTCGCACTCCGTGCCGCCGCCCAGCTCCGCGCCAGCCGAGATGCGGCACCGAGGCCCACGCGCGAGGCTGCGGCACAGCACCACGCCCGCAGCCGGCACCGCCCGGCCCGCAGCAGAGCCGGCCGAGGTGATGCGCGGCCCTACGAGGCCCCCCGGGCCGCCCCGCCCGCTCTCCCGTACCGCTCACCCAGGCGGAGCCCGCAGCTGCCGGCCACGGCGGCGCGGAACCGATCCATGTGGGTGTTCCGCTTGCTGTCAGGCTCCCACATCACCTGCGACTCCATGATCTCGGGCTCGCGGGACATGGCGGCGAAGAACGGAGGCGCGCGAAGAACCGTCACTACTCCCGCAGAGCCGCCGCACAGCACCACTCCCACCGCGGCTCTCAGCGCGCACTGCGCGGCCCCGTGCGGGGCGCTGCGCTTTAAGGGCCGCCTCACCGCCCGTCGCGGTAACCTTCCGCGGAGCCAAAGGAGTGCGCCCCGCCCGGTCAGAGCGTGTCCTTCCGCCGCACCGCCGGCTGTCCGCGGGCACGGCAGCTCGGCTGCTCCCCGTCTGGTGATTGCCGTGAACTGGCAGACGTAGCCCAGAACGAGACAGCGGCGCGTAACGCGCTGCCAAATAAATCTGGCAGGGAAAACAGGGGATTACGGCAATCGCACGGCCCCGTGCCCTCTGGCTCGGCGCTGGGGTCACCCAGGCGCGAAGCGCGCGGTCGCAGCCCGGAGCGGCGATAAGAGCGGCCGCTGTCCCCGTGCCCTGCGCGTGGCCGCTCAGCTGCTCCCCTCGTGCGCCGAGGTGTGACGTTTTGGGGCAGCACCTCTGAAAGCTTCGCCCGACGCCCCCGGCCCGCCTGTCACATTCAGCTCGGGCACAGACCGACGCAAAAACGGGCAATTCCCGCTTTCACCCCGCACATCCCTCTCCCCTCCGGCCGCCGCCCCTCAGGCGGCCCCGCGCTGCGGACGGATCCGCGCGGCGCACGGCGGTCACGACGCTGCCACGAGCGATTGGCCGGCGCGCGCCTGGCCCCACATCAGCCCAGAGCCCGCTCTCCTCACGGCTAGGCTGAGCGGGGAAGAGCTGACATGGCGAGGAACCAATCGGCGCTGACTTTTTGCAAGCCGTCGTCTCTGCCGACCAATGAGCTGACGCATCGGAAGGAGGTGCGCCCAATCCGGGGGGAGCTCTCATTCTCAGCGGAGGGTGGAGGTCTGGGTGGTGGGGGGTGCTGGTTTTAATCGTTTTCAGCTCAAAAAGCAGCAGCAAAACAGAACCCTTCCCGCCTAAAGCGAGCGTGCATCCACAAAGAAAACGTGGTGCCAAACGACTCGAGGAGGGACCCAAAAATTCTCCTCCCTGGGGTCAAAAAGGCCTGGTTTAAAGCAGGCTGCCTCAGCTGGAGGAGAAGGGACAGGTGGGATTTGTGATGGAAGGCGAGTTTTAGGAACACCTGGTGCCCTTCTCGTTAGGAACCGCAGTTGCACTGCTGCATCCTCGGTTAGGATCTGCCTCCGTGTTCCTCACCGTTATTCCTCTTTTTCCTTATCCAAATAAAACAGCTTCTCCTTTCAAAAGTGACCTCAGAGAAGTGGGGAGAAAAGGGAGAACGAAATGCCTTTCACAGCAAAAGGAGCTCAAGGAGGAATGCAGTGACTGCTAACGATTCAGAAGCTAGATGAGAATAGTTAGGGGGAAAATAGCCTAAATGAGGTTAACTGGAATTCACCATTTCCAAATCTTTTCTTACCCTGGCTTTATACCTAATAGTAGTAATAATCGGCTACAAATTAAATCATGGTTTGCGCTCTAGATTAGATTAAGAACCCTTCAAAGGACATGGCAGGAGTTATTAAGAGGAACGGTGATGATACTGCCTCATTTGTGGCATAACTAACCTGCAGCCAGCCTGTTAAATTAAAACAAGGGATACAATCACCGTGAGCTAACAGTTTTGTAATTATACCTCGGGGCACTCTGCGCTGTATGCTCAGGATTGATTGTGATCCACTGATCCAACAGCTGCGTTAAGAAACTGTGCTCCAAATCCCCATATTGGGAGTAGCCACCAGCTGGTTAATTGGTCTGTAGGAGGGTGAGAATCTTGGGGCACAGCTGGCATCCTTGGGCTCAGCCGCCCCTAAGTGGAGCCCAAGGTAAGGGCAGCCAGAACAAAAAGCTAAAGCATCTGCAGAAAGTAGGATGAAAAAAAAAAAGATAAGAAGCAGTGAAGAGGAACCTCACAGAGATAACAGCAGAACGTGAATAAAAAAGGCCGCAGAAGGAGGTTGTATGTATTCAGTTGTGGCAAAGCGAGCTGTGAGATGAAGTAAAGGAAGAAAAAAAAGGGTTGGGGAGGTTAAGGGCTGGTTCACATCAACGCCACTCAGCTCTCTTAAAGGCTATGCCAATTATTTTTCAACGTAAGAATGATTTTAAAAAGAGAGAACCTTGTGCCACAATACAAGTTTGACACTGCAAAGAGACCCCAGTTTATTCCCAAAGCTGTTAAGAATGTTGTTAGATCTCTCTGAATAACAAAACACGTGCAGTCTCCAGATGAGGAAGCACAAGTGCTGTTGTGTTGCTCACGCTGCTCATCCTCAGGAGAAGATCTTTCTAGAAGCCTCACAGTTGTCCTAATAAAAAGTTCAACGTGGTTAAAGAAAAATGAGATCAATATTTCATGCCATGAGGCAATGTATTCTTTGAGCAGACGTGATTTCATTTATTAAACAAGAGAAAGGTGAAATATTGTGTAATTTCGTAAGAGCTGCGGGTGAGGCGAGTTGAATTTACCTAAAATAGGCTCATTGAGACAGATCTGGAAATCAGTGATGTGCCAGGGGTGATTCCCAAATTAACCTGACCTCATGTGAAGGACAGCCACGATCACAGCTTCCAAAGGCAGCCTCTAAAATAGACCCACAGGCACCTGCAAAGAGCGGACAGAAGAAAATAACAAATACTTTGCAGAATGGATTTTGAGGGAAAACTCCCAATGAAAACTCACAGGGAAATAGGAACAGATTCTCAGCATCGAGACCTGCTGGACCAGAAACAGCACAAGGGGATCCAGAAGAAGCCATGCCAGCTGAGAGCAAATCAAGCAGTTGTAACTGGCACAGAAAACAACATTTGTGACATTTAATTAAATTGCAGTAATGTTTTGGTAATGCAAAATTCTTTACATGAAGGAAATGCCCCCAGTGGATGCTGTATGCTGGGAATCAATGCGTGACACTGAGGGCAGATAACCAGAGACCCCCTAACAACCTGTTATCCATTGCCAACTCATTTTGGAGAGCATGACACAGATGTCAGCGTAGGTACAGGTATGACCATATCTGGGATTTGGGGGCCATCTTAAAACAGAATGAAAGCAGCTTTTATAAATATATAAAGAATCAATGTCCTACTGAAATCACGCGGGAGCCTAAGTGCCTCCCTGGGTCTGAGCCCAGCGCCTTCAGGGCCAAACATAAATGAATGCTGAAAGGCCCGAGCCATTCTGCCAAATGTGAAAATAAGCAATTTGGCCAGATAAAAGTAGGGAAAAGGCAATAAGAAAAATATCTATAATCTAAATGTCTGCTTGACTACTTTACAACAACATTTAGGCCCAGCCATGAGTTTTAGCATGAAGGGCATGGTTCCAGTGTCAGAAAGAGATGCACGAAGCTGAGCCACAGGTACGCCCTGAGGCTGCAGAACTCCCCAGGAAGGGGCAGAGTTTTCCTTATAGGGGAGCGCAGTTATCGGAGCAGAGATCCCAACGAATGCTGTACACGCACTGTCACCTCCCCAGACACAACCGCAGCTCCTCACCGCGCTCGCACCCCGGCTAGGTTTCGCTACCTAGGAGCAGCACGTAGCGCTGCCCAACTCATACCTCCCAGCCGCGCTTTTGTTGCTCCGCTCGCTCACGAAGGACCCACGTGAAACCTATCAGATGGAGCCGCGCCGCCCGGCCGCCCGCGCCCCGCCCCACGGCCGGCGGCGGACCTCGCGGCGCGGCCTGAAGGCGGCGCTACAACCGCGGCGCAGCGCAGCGCGGGCGGCCATGGCGGCGGGTCGGCTGCCGGCGGTGCTGCTGCTCCTCGCCCTGCTGCTGGGCGGCACGGCGGGGCCCGGCGCTCGGGCGGCGCGGAGCCGCGGCGCCGAGAAGCAGAACAGCTTCCGCCGAGCCGCCAGCGGCCTCTACCAGGGCGTCAGCGGCCTGTTCGGGGAGGACAACGTGCGGGCCCTGCAGAAGGTGAGGCCGCTCCTTCCCGCTCCTACGCGCGCACCCCGCGCTGCCTCCCCTCCCCCGGCTGTCCGAGGGCCGCGGGGCGGGAGGCCGCAAGGAGCGGAGCCCGGCGCCGGGAGCCTGGCTTCGGGGACGGGAGGCGCGCGGCGAGCCGCAGCGTGGCGGCGGCGAGGAGGTGTCCGGTTAGAGCCGTTGCTGCTGGGAGAGGCCGGCGGTAGGAGCCCTGCGGCTGGGATGCGGAGCGCGCTGTGTCTGTGCGTGCGCTGGGGAAGGGAGCGGAGCGGAGCCCTGCGCGTGCACGGGGCGTCTCGGTTGCTCGATGGAAATGTGGTTCTCTGGCTGGCTTTACCCGCGTCGTGTTTTCTTGAAACCTCTGAACGGTGCATAGCGAACAAAGTGCGTTTTTAAAGCCTGTTAACCTGCAAGTTTACGTGCTAAAATACCTTAATAAGAGCAGCTGTGCCGACTAAGTTTGCAATTACAGAACCACAGAATGGCGTGGTTGGAAGGGACCTCAAGGATGATGAAGCTCCAACCCTCAGCCACAGGCTCCAACCTCCTCATTTAATACCAGCCCAGGCTGCCCAGGGCCCCATCCCACCTGGCCTTGAACACCTCCAGGGACGGGACATCTACAGCCTCTCTGGGCAGCTGTTCCAGCACCTCACCACTCTCATAGTAAAGAACTTCCCTCTGGCATCCAACCTAAATCTGCCCTCCCTCAACTTAAAACCATTTCCCCTTGTCCTGCTGTTATCTACGCTTTCAAAGAGTTGACTCCCCTCCTGTCTGTAGGCTCCTTTAGGTACTGAAAGGCTGCAATGAGGTCACCCCGCAGCCTTCTTTTCCCCAGGCTGAACAAGCTCAGCTCCCTCAGCCGGTCTTTGTAGATAAGGTGCTGCAGCCCTTGATCTTTGGGTCCCAGGACAGCCTGAGCTGGTGTGTGGTGGCCCTGCCCATGGCAAGGGGTGGGACTGGGTGCTTCTTAAGGTCCTTTCCAACACGATGGTTCCTTCCGTGGTTCTCTTATTCAATTTTTTTCCTTGGGATCTTCAAAATATTCTGCGGTTTCTGTTGCATGACTTACAGTTCTGCTCACAACTAGTAAGTTGCAATAATTGAGGGGTTTTATTATTCTTTTTTTAATGTTCAATTTTATTTCTCAGTTTTTCTCAAGGTTGACAGAGAGGTTTGTGAATGGGGTGGATGTATTAATGGACACATTCTGGAGAATATGGACTGATTTGTTAGATGTTCTTGGAATTGATGGTAAGTGTGATGATGCCTGTTAACCCCTGAGCTGTGTCAGTCCGTGTCATTGCTCACAAGCATAAGCTGAGTGGGAAACTAACTGTGTCATATCATTCTACATAGAACATTCACCAGTGGTATCTCTGCCTACTTCACGTGATTTTGATTGTGCTATCGTGGCCTCCAAACCAGAAACTTAAACCCAACTGTTGTGTTTTAGTGTGTTTATAGGATGTCTGTGAAAGTGTGACAGGTCATGGTCAGCTCTTTGGTGTCATCATTAAATGGATGCAAATGGTATGGAACAGTGCATGGAAATGAAGGAGAGGTGTAGAATCTTGCCCTACAACAGCTTGTCTTTGAAGAGTCTTAAATGCCTCTTCTTTAAAAGCATTAATTAAATTGCATCATTAGAGCTGGGCCAGTGATAAGAGAATCATAGAATCACTAAGGTTGGAAAAGACCCACAGGATCACCCAGTCCAACCATCCATCCAGAAATGGGTAACTGAAGCTGTGCTTACGTTTCCACCGTTCTCTCTTTTGTGTGCACTCGTTAACATTCTGTAAATTTTCCTTTGTTTTTCAGCCTCCAACTTGACTCATTATTTCAGCCCAGCAGCAATTGCCAACAACCCAACCCGGGCTATTCTGCTGATCGGTGCCATCTTACTCGCCTACTGGTTTTTATCTCTCTTCCTCGGATTCTTCTTCTATCTCCTGCACATGATCTTTGGTCGTTTTTTCTGGATTGCGAGGGTTGCCCTCTTCACCCTCTCGTGCATATACATCCTGCAGAAGTACGAAGGTGACCCGGAACACGCGGTGCTGCCTCTCTGCTTCGTGGTGGCTGTCTACTTCATGACGGGGCCGGTGGGATTTTACTGGAGGAGAAACAGCAACAGCAGCCTGGAGGAGAAGATGGACCACCTCGACAGTCAGATCAGACTGCTGAACATACGTCTCTCCAGGGTGATTGAGAACCTGGATAGAGGCAGTGACCAATGACCCCACCCCCATAGACCACCGTACACCAGCTCTAGAAAGTTCCTAAGCACTGTCTCATTTGAAGTTACAAAGCAACAAAACATCACATGGTAAAAAGTGTGCAGAGTTATAACTTTTCATCATGTGTGAGACTAATTGATCTAGATTACACACTCAGCCATTATACTTGTAGGAAAAAGAATTAAGCCGTATATTCAGAGTTTTATCCAGTATTAGAATTTTATCAGTAGAGAAACGCTTACTTTTACAAGCATTTAAAAACATCTTTTGTAAATTTTTTATAAAAGCAAATCGAGTAGTCTTTAAAATACTGAAATTCAGCTAAACATATGCAAATTTGACACACAAAGTTAAAATCTAAAACTACCGAACACTTCTGTTGAGAAGTAACTGCTGTGGGTCCACCCTTTGCTGTTGTTTGTTTGTGCAAAGTCACAAATGTTTTTCTCTTACTGTTGGCTTATTTCATTGCCTTGAAGTTGTCTTTCCTAGAATATTAAGTAATTTTCTGGTATCCAGGCCAAAAAATTCATGCCCTAGATTTTAATAGGAGGTGGAGAACAAGGGAGAAGAATGATTTCTTAAGTTTCAGGTCCTTAAACGCCAGTCCCACGTAAGGAATTGAGAAGTGCACGTGTGGCTTTATTTTATTGCTTTTCCTATCAGGAACTTAAATTTTGACATTCGAAAGGAAATCCGATTTAATTGATTGACACAAGAGGAAAAGATGTAGTGTGGCAATCTGTAATTCCTATCTGACCTTCATAGTGAAGTGTATTTCAAGCATCAGTGCATAGGATGGAATACAGTTTTTAATCTTGGGACCCATTTACTTTCACGCAAAAGAAAGTCAGCGGTTAAACCACTTGCAAATGCATCGTTGCTTAAAGCTTTCTCAGGACCAATAAGTGGCAATAAATTACCTTCAGGAAGATCTGGATTTCTTTTCTAAAATCGTAATTGTGTTGTAGGAGCTTTTATCCTGAAGTCTGTGTCCTCAATATATTGGGCTTTGGGGAAGCGAGTCACCTCATGGAAAGGTGTGTTAAACAAAGCAATGTAGGAGCTTGGAGCAGCTGTATTTTGAAGGATTTATGTATTTGTAACCTTGTGATTAAGTAGCTTGGTAGGTGAGCACTGGTTTTGTACAGTTTGAAATGTACTGAAACAAAGGTGACCTCAGGGAGGGAAGTCAGTCAGTGTTTTGTGTGGTAACCGATGGCGCTGAGCTCAGTGACAGTGCCAGGAGAGGTAAAAATGGGCCACAGCTGAGGAACAACGCCTTCCCTAATTTCTGAACGATAGGTTAAGAGAACCCGCAACAAGAACTGGGTCTGCAGCAGGGACTGGCCTAAAAGCAATGGGAGCAAATCCACGTGGCTGCTGAGCGGGGCCAGGGCTGCCCGGGCAGGACCTCAATGTGCTGCTTTACTGAATGTATTGTGGGCTGAACTGTTTTTTTCCTTTATGCTGAAGTTTAATGCTCTTCTGAAAAAGCATATTACTTGCCTAACCTCCTTTGGTCTGTCTGTGGCATTTATGGGAATGGTTCTTTTATAATCCATTCTTATGGCCTTCATGTCAACCCGCAGTCGCTGAAGTTCAGCGTGGTTGGAGTTGATATGCAGTTGGCACTGTTGTAATGCATTTTTATTTTTTTTATTGCATCTGTAGTTTCCTCTGAGTCTCATTTTTCAAGAAATACATGGTTAGAGTTGCAAAGAAGCTGCTTTTTTATAACTTAAAATCTTTCCCATAAACAGATGAGTACTATGGAGACAATAATCTGCCTTGTAAAGCTGAGCACTGGAATGGCGGTGTATTCGTTTCTTACAGCTCATTTTCTGTAGTATTGCAGAGTCTTCCCTGTAAGCTCTGGTTTTGCTGCTGTTGTGCACAGAGGACTGAGCTAAGCACCACCGTGGACATTAGGAATTGGTTAGCAAAGGTGGTCACATCTCTTTTTTTTGCTAAATCTGAGGCCTGAGGACCAAAGTCTGCAAACCTTACTCCATTGCCTTCAGTAGGACTATGTGCATGAGTCAGATTTGCATAGATTGTATTTTGCATAATCCATATTTAATGTTGAAGTTAAAAATGCTGAATCGTTTATATATTAAGAGCTGTCTATTATAAAGATTTCTTTACAAATACTATATGAAACTTAATTTGGATTATAGTTTCTCCCTGTGTCTCTAATCGTTTATTTTAGTTTTGTAAAAATCAGCCCTCCTGTATTAATTCTCTTAGTTTTGATCGCCCTGCTGCTTGGAAAAAGTATTTTTGTATTTACTTGCATCCCATGTATAGCAAAATGTTATGTGAAGAGCAGTATATATAAAATTGGATATTTTTAATCAGTATTTTTCCCAGCACTCAGTTTTCACGTTAGTCAAATTCAGAAGTAATGATTTTTTTTAAAGCACAATCTAGTCTTCAATATATATACTTTAAAAATGCTCTGTATTTTTAAACATGCACTGTAGTGAAAATGCTTTTGAGATATGAATGTGGTATTTAACCTCTTTCAACTCACTTTTGTAAATACCTTTTACAGATACTTTCCATTCCAAGTCATGTAGTTGACCCACCAAGTGTTGGCTCTGATTCGTAGACCTCGTTCCAGTGGCTGGTTGCACTGCTTTGCTGTTGCCATGGGTGTGAGCATCTCGGATAGGCGTGCAGGTACGGGCTGTGGGCACAGCAGAGCCCTGCACACTGCCTGTGGTGGTGGCACAAGGGCAGGAGAGCCCCGATCCCACAGCTGCCAGCCTGGCTGTAACACAGCACCCGCTATGGGCTCCGTACCACCTGGTACCAAATTCCAGGGCGGGTCTTCAGCGTTCTGAGCTTCGAGACCTGATGTTTGAAACTACCGTTGTGTTCTCAGTGCATTGGTGGTTGTTTTTTTGTTTTTTTTTTTTTTTTCAAATGACACTTGTAGGGATTTCCTTGCAGGTGGGCACCTCACCTGTAGATAACCGACCCGTCGTGCGCAGAGTGTAACGCTTCTCCAAGTGCTGTTGGGTGTCGGAGTGCCTTGTGTAAGCTGCTGTGGCTCAGTGCTGTGTTAGTGCGTCCTCCAACTCGTGACTCGCTTTTGAGATGTGTTGCGTAGTGAATGTGGAACATAGACCAGTGTGTAACCTTAGCTCTTGGTGGTGTAGAAGTTTTTAGGTGTGATTTGCTCACGTACTGATCTGTATTTGGCAGCTAATGACGTGAATGACCACGAGTTCTCTTTGTCTGGGCTGGAAAACAAAAGGTTTTGTTGTATCCGCATGTATTTTAAACTTTTGGATAATTCCACCCAACTGTGATGACAGCACATTAAAAGTTGATCTTTTCTTTTTAACTGAAGCGGTGTTTGCTGTGGTAGCGCCGGGGGGCGGGATGGGTTCTCACTGCCCCACGCTCCCTAACCCTGACCGCGCCCGAACGGCGCGCCAAGCGCTGCGGCCCCGCCCATCGGCCACCAAACCACGCCCCCAAACAGCAAGCCACGCCCCTTAACCGCTTAACCACGCCCCTTCTCATGCTGCGCCTGCGCGCACGCACCGCCCCTCCTCGCGAGACCGCGCTGCCCGGAAGCGGGGCTGCCTGCAGCTGCACGTGGGCCGGGCCGGTTCCGATATGGGCCGCGCGCGGCGGCGGCACAACTGGAAGGCGCGGGCGGGATGCGGGGCCGAGCAGCTCCCTCCGGCTGGGGCCGAGCCGGCGGGGCTGCAGCTGGAGCTGGGAGGTGCGCGGGGCGCAGCGCAGCTCGGGGTGGCTGCGGTGTCACCGCGCTGCTGTTGGGCCGTTACGTGGTCTGGAACGGTCGTGTAGGATGGGTGGTAATGGCTCTGTTATAGCAGCTACTGCATCAGTTAGGCTGTTCTTTACTAAGGCAATCCGGTTATTAAACAACCTCTGTGCTTAACGCTTGCACTATCAAGGCCAATGTTTGTGGGTTTTTAATCATTTTTCTCATGCAATTATTATCAAACCATTACTAATGCAGACTTCTCTACTAGAAGTTGCTTGTCTCTGGTAGAGAGCGTGGTGTCACACGTGGCCCTGAGCTGCTCTGCATCCTTTGGCTGCGAGGTTGCATAAAAAGGAGGGAAGGAGCTGTCAGCCCTGTGTCATAAGCCTAGGGGATGAGCTGAGCAGCCACAGCAAGCATGGCAGCATTCAGCACCCCGTGCCATGGGGTTTTCGTTCCTGCTGACAAGTGGGATTGGTTCTGACTGGGAGGAAGGGTTGTGTTTGCCTGGAATGTCCGTATCCAGTACAGCATGTGATTTGGCCACTGAGCAGTGTGCTGACACCGGCCCTCCTGGTTCTGGTGAGTGACACACCGATGCTTGCAGATGGGGCACCGCTGAAGGGGATTGATGGGAGCAATGCCCTGGTCCTGCCAGCAAAGAAAGAGAAGAAGAAGAAAGCACCGAGCGCTGTGCAACAGCAGAAGAAACCTCTCAGCAGGAAACAGAAGAAAAACTTACAGAAAGTTTTAGAACAGAAGGAAAAGAAAAAACAGGTACAGTGCTGCTTGTGAGTAATTCTGGCATTGGTTCCCCCTCTTCAAATGGTAGTTAACTTGGGAGCCAATCTTTAAATGAAATTATTTTCCAGTGACTATCAGTACTGACTTTAGTTGGTTTTCCCACACAGCGCGCTGAGCTGCTGAGCAAGCTGAGTGAGGTGCAGGCTTCCCAGGCAGAAATGAAGCTTCTGTACACCACTTCCAAGCTTGGCATTGGAGGGCGCATGTATCAGCCCAAAAGGTAAAGCAGTGCTGGGGAAAAACCTTTCTGACTTACTGCTGTGGTTGTGGCAACCTGTGCATCTTTCTTTTCTCACTCTGCCTGGGGAGCCTGTCTTAGTGCTGCATGATGCCCGCTGTGCAGGAGTTCTTTCCCTGGGTTTGAGCTCACACGGTGACTTGGTGGTACAATTCTGTTTGCTGTGGATGATGTGTGAACTCTGCAGTTCTTGAACGCCTTTGGGGCCAGTGACTCCACCACCTCTCTGGGCAGCCTGTCTTTTTCCTGGTGTCAGTATGAGCCTTCCCTGGTGCTACTTAAGGCCATCACCTCTCATCCTGTCGCTGTAGTTCACGTGGTGGTGTGTTGTTTTAGGGTATTGCAGGAGCCAGGCGCTGCTGTACCTGAGATGATCAGGAGCATCAGCGGTGCAAATAAGAGAAGACACAGCTCAGATTCAGAACCAGAGCCTGAGGGTGAATCCAGTTGCTCTGAGGAGGAGAAGAAAGAAGAGAAACAAGAAATTGAAAAGCCTTCAGCCAGTAATGTGAGTTCTGCTGGGAAGCCAGAAGAAGGCACGAAGAAGCCCATGGTGAGCCAGCAGGCTGCTCCTACTGTGTCCAGCAAACCGTCATGCAAGCCTGCAGTTTTTGTTCCAGTGGACAGATCTCCTGAGATTCAGGTGAGGTTGAGCAGTTACCTGTGGGCTTAGGAATGACATCTTGCAGTTTGCTGCAGACACCATCGTTCTATTCCATTTGATGTGAGTAGGATGTTCTCCAGAAGTAGGAAGAGTTCTATGTGTCTTTGAACAGACACGGCAGGGTTATGGAAGGGCTCTGTTGGAAATGCGGTATCGATAAGCTCAAGGGATTCTGTAGTTTCAGAAATTAAAGTGCAGAAAGTCGTGGCTGCTTTCTGAGAAGCTGTTTGGATGAGTCTAGTTCTAGGCATGACAGTGGGACATTCACTGGTTTGAAGCTTTTTGAGCCTCAAACCTTGCAGAATTTCTTTCTGTGGATTTTGTCATCTGAGCTAGGAAACACTTTTCAGTCCTTGGGAGGACTAAACGATGTGTGTAAACCATGTGTTTTATCTTAGGAGGCAAGACTAAAGCTGCCCATTCTGGCTGAAGAGCAAGTCATCATGGAAGCCATTAATGAGAACCCCATTGTCGTCATATGCGGAGAGACGGGCAGTGGTAAAACCACCCAGGTCCCCCAGTTTCTCTATGAAGCTGGTTATACCAGGTAGGAATTGTCTTTTGTGTGCAGCAAATGTAGCTAGAAAAGTTGAAGCTGAGCTCAGTCACTTCTGATTTATCTCCTGTATTCTGAAATGGCTGAACTGGGGAGCTCACTCTTTGCTTTGCAGTGGCAGTGGCCGTGCTGAAGGAGCTTTTAAAGACTTGAAGGAAGTACAGCTGTGACTTGCAAAACCCTTTGCACATAAACAATCTTTTGAAACCTTTAAACAACCCCCCTTTGTGGTTCTATGCCCCTTTAGTTCAAATGGCATCATTGGGATCACGGAGCCCCGGCGTGTGGCTGCAGTGTCCATGTCTCAGCGCGTCGCTAAGGAGATGAATTTGTCACATAGGTGAGAAGGAAACCTGCTGGGACCTTGCTGGGAAGGCTACACTGAGATGCACTGCACATGTGATTGATTGAGACAGAAGTGTGTGTGTTGCTGTTCTGCCTCTGGTGAGAATCTGGCAGGTTACTCACACACTGCTGTGGTGGTATCTGTAAAAGCACATGAGGATGCATGGAGTGGAATTGCTGTATACCCCAGGTTCTGGTGTTTGTTGTGTGTGAGGCTCTGGTGGGTTGTTGGGGTGCATTTTTTCATATGTTGGCATCGAGTCCTAATTTAGTTGGGCTGAAGGCTGCTTCCTGATCTGCACGCTGATTTCCTGCTCCTCTCCATGCCTTGTGACTCTCCTGCTGTTCCCTCACAGAGTGGTTTCGTATCAAATACGATATGAAGGAAATGTCACAGATGAGACACAAATCAAGTTCATGACAGACGGTGTGCTGCTGAAAGAAGTGCAGAAGGTGAGGTACTGCCCTTGCTGCTGGGAGAAGGGAGGGATCTCCTTCCACCAGAGGAGGTGGCAGCCAAGTTGCGTGGGTTTGTTGCCAGCCTTCCAAGCAAAAGCCCTTTCAGCACTGAGAATTCTCTCAGTGTGGGGTTATCTTGCTATGTAAAATGAGAGCAAGGAGTCTTGGGAGCTAGGCTGCTTTGCACGGCCTTGAGAGTTTGGGTCTGTGCTACACTGCCTGTGTAGGTCTGTGCCTGGGTGTGGAAATGAGGGTGGTGTTTGTGCAGCCACGGGTTGTTCTGGCAGGGATATTCTCAGATGAGGCTTCATGCGGTGCAATCGTTTGTTCTTCTCAGGATTTTCTGCTTTTAAAGTACAAAGTGGTCATTATTGATGAAGCCCACGAGAGAAGCATGTACACGGATATCCTGATAGGGCTCTTGTCTCGCATCGTGCCTCTTCGGGAGAAGGTGAGAGAAGCTGCATGAGGTGAGAGAAGGCACACGAGGCAGGGGTGCCAGTCGATAGCTTTTCACACGATATCTCATTGCAGTGCCACCAGACACAAGTAATTAAAATTACTGGCCTATCAGAAAGCACTTGTGTCCAATGCTGCCAATAGTTCTTGCTCTGTGTGCTGTATAGCATAAGTGCCACGTGCTTCCAGGCAAAGAGTGACAGCTGTGTGTCCCTGCAGAAAGGGCTGCCCCTGAAGCTGATCATCATGTCAGCCACCCTGCGTGTGGAAGATTTCACTGAGAACACCAGGCTGTTTGCTGTCACACCTCCTGTTCTACAGGTATTGTTCTTCTCGCTGGGATCTATGCCAGGTGGAGCAGCTGAAAATACAGCGAGGGCTTCCTTTGTGAAATAAAAAATGGACTCTAATCGTCCATTTGCTGCCTAAATCTATTGGATGTCAATTTAAGATATGGTTTTGTTTTGGTTATACTGGTCTGTCATTTGGAACTCAGTGGTTTTCTCTCCACTTCTATCAGAGAATCTCCCCTGGCAGAATTGGATTACTTTGAAAGACTGGAAGTTATGGTTAGGAAGCCTCAATCCACGAGAGAATAGTTGAGTTTCCCTCTTGGTTTCATGGTGTTCAGCATAGCCAACATGGATCACTTCCATGGGTCTGGTGGTCTGTAGGTTACCAAAACCAAAAGCTGCACAGACTTCAGGATATGCATATCTGGTTCTGCCACGAGGGCTGCAGTGACTGTGCTGGCATTACAAACAGGGCTTGTTTGCTGTTGGATTTCCTCTCTAGGTGGATGCGAGGCAATTCCCTGTCACTGTTCATTTTAACAAGAAAACCCCCCTGGATGACTACAGTGGGGAATGCTTCCGAAAGGTGTGTAAAATCCATCGGATGTTACCCTCAGGTAAGGGCACTGTGGAGCCTCTCAAATTCTTCACACTTAACCTATCTGTAGAATTTTTGAGCTTTTTTTGGGTAATTTAAGCAGCGGTGCATGGCATTTAGAGTGATTTCATCTCTTGCAGGTGGGATTTTGGTGTTCTTGACAGGCCAGGCAGAAGTTCACTCTCTCTGTAGGAGGCTGAGGAAAGCCTTTCCCTTCCAAAAAAACAGCACTGCAGGTAACGCCACTGATTAAGACTTGGACTTAATTAATTGAATTAAACTTGGTATTGAATTAAATTCCCCTCTCTGAGAAATGAGCTTCCTTTGCACCTAAAATAAGAATTTTTATTTTAAAATTTCTCAAGACAAGGGTTGGGGGTCGGATCTAAGGATAGTGGAATTTCCCAGGATGGCTTTAGAAAGCAAAATCCTGCCGTAGCTCAGCTAGTTGTCTTCTCAACCTCAGTGCACACACTTGCTGTGCTGCTGTTGGTCCTCAGTATGGTTCCTTGTCCCCTCTGCCTTCAGCAGGGCTGCGCTTCATTCATACTGTGATGCCTTTGGAATCCTACAGGAGCTGGGAGTGGGGACAGACTGTACACTCCCTTTTCTGAGATGAAAGCGTGCACAGCTAATGGTGATTTGATGGCTGTTTTTGTAGGAGATGACGACGACAGAAAAGAATCAGTGGAAGAAATGCGAAAATTTAAGAAATCAAGAAGGCGGAAGAAAGCTGCGGTACTGTGATGGCTAGGATTCCTCCCAGACACAGAGCAGGGCCCTCCCTGCAGAAGAGCACTCCTGCATAGTGGTGTTTCTCACCAGGCTGGTTTAGGCTCGCATGAAGCCTTGTGGCCTGCATGTGTCCCCTGCAGAAATACGGTAGCACTGTTTGCACTCCTAAGTACTGCATTACAAGCAGCAGAGTGCTAAAATGTGTCCCTGGATACTGTGGGTAGGAGACAGATTTCAGCTAAGTGCCGACCTTAAAACATTAATGGAAGGAGTTGCAGACTTGCTGTCTCCAGGGCTGCCTCTCCTCTGGCTATTTGTTACCCAGAATTGAGTCTGATGTGTCTGTGATGGATGGCAGCATTTGGCTTCTGCCCAGCTCCCACATGCACTGTGCTGGGAGGAGATCTTGATGCTGCAGATGTACTGCCTGCTGGTCTGGGGTCCTGGTAGCTGGAGTGGTGTGAAGAAGTGTTAACCTTTGCTTCTGTCCTCCCTGTGAAGAAACGTGGCTGTTTGAAACTGTGACTTGGGTGTCCCCTGACTCTCACAGTTAAGAAATGCTGAATCTTAGCCTTGAAATACAGACAGCGTTTCCCAATCTCTGTCAATTTCAGGTCAACAAATGCTTGGAATAAATGCTGAACTTTGCTTTCAAAGCTATATGAAATGCTGTCTGTGTTCCCACTTACACTGCATTGTCTTCTTTCCCATCTTCCTCAGACACTTCCCCAAATCAATCTGGACAATTATGCTGTTGTACCAGTGGATGAAGGAGATGAAGATCGAGATGCTGAAACTGATGATGATATTGCAGGATCTGATGTTGACCTCGACTTAGGAGATGGAGACTCAGAAGAAGGTTTGGCACTTGACCTACAGTTAGCTGTGAAACGTGTGACATAAAATAGCTGTCCTTTGCTAGGCTGGTGTGACAGCACATTGGGTCTGCATAATGGAAGAGTAAAGTTTTTCTGGTTGAGATGTATGCCGAATAATTTATTGCTGCTTTTTAATGAATTATGCTCCTGGAGACATCACTGGGGATAAGCCTAGAAGCTAACTTACTTTAAAATTATTGCTTTGTTTCTTCACAGAAGAGAAATCAGATTCATCCCTTCCACTTTATGTGCTCCCTCTCTATTCTTTACTAGCACCGGAGAAACAAGCAAAGGTAAAGGATTCATTGTCACAAAAACAAATGACCCTTAATAGGTGGCATTGCTGTCTTAAGTCTCTTATGTTTTGTGAGCTAAAAGGTCCATCTTGGACCACCGCCAGTGGGCAGACTGGAATGGCTCAGTGGACAAGATAGGCTGGGTTTGGAGCAGGCACTGCTTGGCCTGTGCTCTCCCTGATGTCCTGGTCCAGTGGGCTGGGAGAGATGAAAAGCAACAGTCCTGTAGCATGTTAAAATTGCTCACAGCTATGGGGTGCATCAAGGATTTTGTTGGCAATGCATTTCATACGCCCATCTGTTTCTTGTAGGTGTTCAGGCCTCCTCCTCCTGGCACGAGACTCTGCGTTGTAGCCACCAACGTGGCAGAGACATCGCTCACCATCCCAGGCATCAAATACGTGGTTGACTGTGGAAAGGTGAAGAAGCGTTTCTATGACAAAATCACCGGGGTTTCATCTTTCAGAGTCACCTGGATATCTCAAGCATCAGCTAACCAGCGGGCAGGTCGTGCGGGCCGGACTGAACCAGGGCACTGCTACAGGTCAGCGAGCTGCTGGGAAGAGGGTGATGTAAATGTTACCCTCAACTGCCTTTTGATTTTGAATCCCTTGCCAATTTTTCACACACATTTCCTGAGTTAAGATTTCTTGCAAGTTTCCAAGCAGCGTTTCTGGTCCACTAGGTTGTATTCTTCAGCTGTCTTCATGGACTTTGAGAAATTTTCTGCGCCAGAAATAACAAAGCGACCAGTGGAAGACTTGATCCTGCAAATGAAGGCACTAAATATAGAAAAGGTAAGGTGTCAGACTGGCTCTGTGCTATGGAGCTCATTAAAGTAGTTGCCCTTTGGAGCCAGAAACAAACACAAATCCATGTTAGAAATGACGGTCCTGGGATTTGGTTTCCATTCTGCGAGCTGCAGATGCTGTTATGAATTTAGCAGACCTTACCAGGCCTGTTCTGGTCATAAGAGCTTTTGCATCATCTTTTCACTGCTGAAAAGTCCCCTATCAAAATAGGGATGGTGTTTTGGAGCTAGATGTGTGCTTTCAGAAAGTGCTCAGAGTTGGACATTAAGCAGCCTGCTCTAGGCGGTGCCTGCAGTCAGTGGCAGCTGAGGGTCATGCTTGTTTTCACATTTCCTAATGGTTTTGTTCTAAGCATTTCCTCCCATTATATGTCCTTTCCTCTTGCTTCTGGCACACATTCTAAATGTTTTTCTTTGGTCTTTGTAATGGAAGGTGAGGTTTTTGCTCCCTTCCAGGGCTTCTTACTGATCCAGACTCTGCCATGTCAGTGATGTACTGAGAGCATTTTATTTGGTACCTGTAGGTAATTAACTTCCCATTCCCAACACCACCTCCAGCAGAAGCACTTGCAGCAGCTGAGGAGTTACTGATAGCCCTGGGTGCCCTGAAGGAGCCCCCTATGACAGGAAGGTAATGGCTGTGTTCCTCAACATATTTCCTCATGGGGATAAAGCACCCACAAGGGCAGCAAAACAGGTTTGCATGAATGCAGATGTTACTTCATCGCATGACTTCTCTCCCCACAGGCTGAAGGAGCAGCAGGCAGCAAAGCTGAGCTGCCCTATTAGTCCCCTGGGCAGAGTAATGGCCACTTTTCCTGTTGCCCCCCGCTATGCAAAGATGCTGGCACTAAGCAGGCAGCATGACTGCCTGCCTTACACCATTACCATTGTGTCTGCCATGACTGTTCGGGAGCTTTTTGAAGAGTTTGACAGGTAAGCGAAGGAGCCCAATTCTCAGTTTATATGGAACCATGGCATCATAGGACAGCTTGGTTTGGAAGGGACCTTAAAACCCATCCAATTCCAGTGCCCTGCTGTGGGCAGGAACACCTCCCACTAAATCAGGCTGCTTGGGGCCCCATCCAGCCTAGTAGGGATGTTGATGCCTCTCTTGAGCACAACCTGATTCATGCCATTCTGTGTTTCTTTTAGGCCAGCAGCAAGTGAGGAAGAGACAGTGAAGCTGAAGGGGAAGAAAGGAAGGCTTGTACAGATGCAGAAGATCTGGGCTGGGCAAGGGTCATTGCAGAAGCTTGGAGACCTCATGGTGATGTTAGGTATTGCACACAGAGCTTTCCCTATGCTGATAACTTCCATTCTCCTCTCCTCATCACCCTGACCTCAGCTTTATACAAAACCATCCTGCTGTAGGACTGAGTGTAGAAGTGTAATTCCTGAGCTGATCTAGGCAGCGTCGAGGCATCGTGGGCTGACAAATGGCCCTGGCTGAGTGGGAACTGCAGTATGTTCATGCTGACTGTGACAGTACTGTGCCACAGTTGGTTTAATTAGAACTCATTTGTGAACTTGTTTTCTCCGCTTGATTATTCACTTCCAGGAGCAGTGGGGGCCTGTGAGTACTCTGGGTGTACTCCTAAATTCTGTGAAGAGAACGGGCTCCGCTACAAAGCCATGCTGGAAATCAGGCGATTGAGAGGGCAGCTGACAACAGCAGGTAATTGGGTTCTGGGGGGAACTCTCATCTTTTGGGAGCAAACCAATCAGCTGAATCTTAACTCACCTTTTTTTTTTTTTTTTCCCCCTGCAGTGAACTCAGTCTGCACTGATGCTGGCCTCTACGTTGACCCAAAGATGAAGCCCCCAACAGAAGCACAAGCGACTTACTTGCGACAGATTGTATTGGCAGGGCTGGGGGACCACCTTGCTCGGAGGGTTCAGGCTGAAGAACTCCTGGATGATAAGTGGAAGAATGCCTACAAGGTAAACGGCTCAATTTACCTGAGTTCCTCTTTGCTTGTGTCTGTAGGGCAGAGGGGCACTCTGCAAAGCCTGGGCTTCTGTCTGGGTGCAGCCATAGGATTGTGTGTGTTGGCTTTCTCCAGCTTCTTGCCATAGAATTGAAGTTTCCAGTGTTGCAATTTCCAAGTCCTTGTGCAGGAATTGCTGTAGAAGAGTAAAAGGGCCGTTAGTCCATCTTGCAGAGTGCTTGATGTCCCCAGAGAAAACAGAGCAGAAAAGCAAAGTGTTATTAAAAACCTCCATGCTTAAGAAGATGTTATAAATGTGTATCTGAGAGAGAGTGAAATTTGATGCAATCAAGAAATGAGGTTGCCAGTAACTGTTCCTACTCTGCCTCAATCCTCTGTGCTTTCTTAAAGACCGCTCTTCTGGACGACCCGGTGTTCATCCATCCAAGTTCAGTCCTTTTCAAGCAGCTCCCAGAGTTTGTGGTGTATCAAGAAATTGTTGAGACTACAAAACTGTACATGAAAGGTGAGACTGCTTTGCTCCATTCTGCAGACTTGATTAGGAATGCAGAGCGGAAAACTTCCCTGCTACTGAGTGGCAGCTCTTGGCAGCAAGGCTTCCTTCAAGTGTGTTTTCCCTTTCTCAGGTGTGTCTGCAGTTGAACCTGAGTGGATTCCTGTTTTGTTGCCACCGTACTGCCACTTTGGGAAACCTCTGGAAAATCCTCCTCCATCGTACTGCCCTGAAACAGGCAGAATTCGATGTCACAGGCCAAGTGTCTTTTGTAAGCTTCTTACAACATCTCTCTCAGTCATTTTGCCTGAGGGCTGCTCTGTAGTTCGTTATTGTAATGTCTCTTAATGATGCTGTGCACAATATCAAAGGGTAGAGCTTAGTTTGAACTGTTCAAAGGGCTTGACAGAGATTTGAGCAGATTCACAGGATTTAAGTGTTTAAATGTTAATGTCTTCCCATTAGCTTGGCAGTTTTATGTCCATCACTAACCTTTGTTAAAGAGAGAGGCTGGCAGGGCTGGTGGTACATGTGGAAATTTATATTCATCAAGTGTTGAGGAGACTCTGATCTCTTTCCAGATCGAGTTAGCTGGCAGCTCCCTGCTGTCGAAGTTGACTATCCAGAAGGTATCGATCGCTATAAATACTTTGCCAGGTTCCTGCTTGAAGGAAAGGTATGTGTGCTCTGGTTGCATCACTTCTTGGACGTTAGCAGTGTTTTAGCCCAGTTTCTGGAGATGAGGCTTGCCAATGGCTGCCAATGTGTTAAACTTGGTGAGGTGGGATGGAGCTCAAAAATACAGAATGGTATGAGAATTAGCTGGTGGGTGAAAGAGACCCAAATTTAAGTCCTGTTTTCTCAAGGGAAGAAGGCTTGTCTCTCCATTCTGAGAGATGAGTCATCAGGTGGGACAGTCAGGTCAAGGTTGGTATGGAGATCTACAAGGAAGAGTAGGGAATACAGGATATGGGACTGAAACCTACAGCAATTCAAGTTCATTGATGATTGCTTCCACAGCACAATTTACCTTGTTTGTTATGTGCTTACTGCAACGTTTTTCACAGGTCATTGAGAAATTGGGTTCTTACAGGCAGTGTCTGCTCTCCAGTCCTGTCATAATGCTGAAAACGTGGTCCAAGTAAGTTGTGAAGAGTTTTTCTCCACTGAATGCTTTTAACTTTCTTAAAAAAATAGTAACAAAAAAATTAAACTCTGGGAAGGGTGTATGAGGCAGTGAGCTAAGGTTTCCTTGCAGAGAGGTGAAAATTGCAGTTTCGGGTGTTGTTTGTTTTGTTTACTGCAAGACCGTTTTTCTTGGTATTTTAAGAGCTGGGTGGAAGCAACAGAATGCACTGATCACACTGACCTCTGCAGGTGGCTCCATACAAGTGCATGAGAACTTTCTTGAGCTAAGGAAATGTCTCTCTATCTCCAGAGGTCGTGTGTTTTACATGAGTATTTAGCTCTCACTAATAATGAGCACGAGTTCGGAAAGGTGAGCTGTAATACTGCTAAACTGAGCTGATGGTCATTTCTTTATGGCACCGTTTTGTCTTGGATTCACATAGGCTTCAGCCCAGGACAGAATCCCTCCTGCAGGCTCTGGTTGCTGAAAATTGTGATAATCGTGATGCTTTGCTGGCTGCATGGAAGAAAAACCCCAAGTGTAAGTGTCCTACTACTTAAATATTAGTCCTATCAGTGAGGGCTTTGTTGTTGGCTTTTTGAGATACATGTAAGGTGGGCTGTTTCACTTGATGTGCTCCAAATTTTTATTTTCTGAATAGAATCCATAACGTTGTGAGTTCTGATTCTTGTGAAAGAGCCAAATGGATGCTGATCAGTATGAAGCCATCTCTCTGCTGCTCTCTTTCTATTCCAGATCTGCTCGCAGCCTATTGCCAGTGGATCCCTGAGGTTATGCACGAGGACATAGCCAAGCAGTGGCCGCCAGTAGCACTGTGACACCCAGCTCTGTTCTTGGGGCACTCCTTTTCTCCGAAGTGTTTCTGGAGCATCGGCTTCCGTGAAGATCTGCTGATCAGAGGGACTGCCTAGCTGCTAGCAGTACCTTTCTGTGACTCTTAGCTGGCTCTTAGCTCTGGTTTTCAGCCTGCTGTGCTCTCAGAAGCCCCACCAGCTGTTTGGCGGGTGCTTTATAATGTTAATATTTGGATAATTTTATCCACTGTATTTTAGCAGTTCTGTTTTGCTGAAGTTTCTCTTTAGACTATATTAGTCATAGGGACTACAATAAACATATGTAATTCTTGGTTTGGATGGGAGAAATGTTTTCTACAGAGTGTTGCAAGAAGCAGTGTTAGACTTTATTCATAGGCCCTTCCTCACACAGACCTGCAGCTCAAGGACTGAGCCTTCCCCCCCTGCTGGGCTGGCTGTGGCCTCATAGAGCTGCCCATTCGCTGCCTTTCACCCTGTAGAACTGTGTGGGGAAGGACTGAAGTAAGAAAACCTGTGGGTTATGTGAGTTACAGCACACTAAGAACTAGAGTTTTTTTGTTTGTTTCATAAGCTTCGGTGTTGTAGAGCCGTGGTGCTCAGCACTAACTCCAGCAGCAGGGGTTGCAACTGCACTTTGCAGCCTGTTTGGGAGGGGTGAAAAAAACTTAAGTGTGGTGCTGATTTACAAATGGCAAAGGTGAGATACGGGTATTTAGGGAATCTTGCAGGGGAAAGCAAGGTAGCTGGCTTTGCAGAGTGCTTCTGTGTTCTGCCTGTGAACCGAGGAAGGGGGTAGAAGGTATAAAAGCGGAGAAGAAAAATGAAAGTAAGACGGGAGAAAAAAAAAACTTGTGGAGATGCCGGGGATTGAACCCGGGGCCTCATACATGCAAAGCATGCGCTCTACCACTGAGCTACATCCCCTTGCCGTGCACAGAGCTCCCGCACAACTCACACATCCAACACGCGGCCGTCGCGCGCCACCAGCCGGGCCATGGCCGTGTAGCAGGAGCGGAGCGCAGATACTCCCTATGCCTGTCCTCGTTAGTATAGTGGTGAGTATCCCCGCCTGTCACGCGGGAGACCGGGGTTCGATTCCCCGACGGGGAGAGATTGTATAGTTTTGATCGTTGGCGCAATTTTTTTCTCCTGGAGGCCCCGGCACTGTGACTGCACTTAAAGCGTGGCGGGGGGCAGTTGCCGCGGGGTGCCGGGAGTCTATCCGTTTCCTGGGCTTTAGAGCAGAGCGATGGGAGGAATGGGTGGAGATTCCAGGCGACAGCCGACCCCTGAGCCGCGCACTGTCCCGAGCGGCCGTCCCCACGTGCTCGCGCTGCGCCAAGCGCAGGGAAAGCGGGGCTGGGCGGGGTCGTATCCGCAGCCCGGGAGGGGTCGTCTCGCCGCCGAAATAGCTCAGTTGGGAGAGCGTTAGACTGAAGATCTAAAGGTCCCTGGTTCGATCCCGGGTTTCGGCAGAGCTTTTTTTCCTTCGTTTTTTTTTCCCTAATTCTCCCCCCAGCTGTCGCTTTGCAGCCGAGCAGCTCGCAGTTTCACCCAGCCCAAAGGGTCGCGGCGCGGGGCGCTCCCGGCGGCAGCAACACGCAGCGCCCACGTGGGCTGAGCTCTGGGCGAGCCGTGGGAGCACACCGCGCACCGTCCTCGTTAGTATAGTGGTGAGTATCCCCGCCTGTCACGCGGGAGACCGGGGTTCGATTCCCCGACGGGGAGGCAAGTGCTCTTTTTAACTTCCTCAAATTTTTCTTTTTCTCCCTCGAATTTTTCCGGCTTCCGAAGAGAAAAAAACAAAACAACAAAACACACAGCCAGCCGTGCGCGCACACAGAGCGCTTCTGTGCTCCAGGAGACACCCAAAGCCCACGCAGCGCTGCTCCGATGAATGAAGTAGGGAGCGCAGCAGCCGGCCCAGCGAGCAACATGGGCAGGGGGATGTAGCTCAGCGGTAGAGCGCATGCTTTGCATGTATGAGGCCCCGGGTTCAATCCCCGGCATCTCCAGCAATGCCTTACGTTTTCGTCCACATTGCGAGTTCTGTCATCGCGTTCACCCACACAGAAAGCTGCCGCGCTAAAAGGCCTCGGCGCGGCTTCCTGCGGCACGGAACGACTCTTCTGCCCCTGGGTTCTCCTCACCAAACACCACGTCTTCGTTTTTGTCGTTGCAAAGCACGGCTCTACGGATGCACGGCAGGAAGGCAGGAGGTGCCGAGCCCAGCAGTGCTGGTACAGCACAGACCTCACACAGCTTTTATCTGCGCGGCTCAGCCAGCAGGTGCTTCATCTCCTCCGTTCCATCAAACAACCGCTTTCTTCGCAGCAACGGTTATTCCTAGTTATATTTGTGACAGATCTCTCCTCAGCTGGAAGAACCACTACCCTGCGTGCTACGCTGATATCCACGGCCCAGGGACACGTTCTCACTTGACACAAACCTGACCGCACGGCTCCGCTCCGGCGGATCCCGGCCGCGCTTTGTGCCGCGCCGCACCGCGCGCCGAGCGCCGACCCCGCCCAGCCGCCACAGCCGCATCACAGCGCCGCCACAGCCGCTGCTCCCTCCGCGCGCCGCCCCGCGCTCGCTGCCGCCCATTCCGCACAGCGGCGGCAACGGCCGCAGGAAAGTAGTGCGTGGCGGAGTGATCTGAGCGGGGCGGGGCGGGAGCAAACGTGTGGCGTAGTCGGAGACTCGGCAGGCAGGCTGTGGTGCGCCTTGGATTTGGCTTGCGAACCCCGTGGTGAGCGTTCCGCTGGGATCAGCCGCGGCTCGGCGGGGAAGAGAGACGGCGGGGCGCGTGTGAGGAGCGGCGGGGTGGAGCGCGTGCTGTGCGCTTGGACAGGAGAGCGCTGGGGAAAAGGGATTGCGGCGGGCAAAGACGGCGGGCAGAAACGGCGGCGTGTGGACGGGGTGTGGGCCGGGGCGCTCGTTTTCCGTTCGGGGCCGCAGCGCGGGACGGGGACGGGGAGGGGAGGGGGCGGGGAACCGCCGGGAAAATGGCGGCCGCGCAGGCGCAACAGCGGCCCCTAAGATGGAGGAGGCGGGCGCGCGCCCTGAGCGGGAAGGGGAGGAGGCGCGTGGCCCCGCCCCTCGGGGTGTGGGCGGGTCCTACTGTGACGTCACTGGGCGGCTGGCGGCGGCGGGCGCTGCTGACGCCCTCTTAACATGTGCTGATCTCCCTTCCAGACCGACATGCAGATCTTCGTGAAGACCCTGACTGGCAAGACCATCACCTTGGAGGTGGAACCCAGTGATACGATCGAGAATGTCAAGGCCAAGATCCAGGACAAGGAAGGCATTCCCCCCGATCAGCAGAGGCTGATCTTTGCTGGCAAGCAGCTGGAAGATGGGCGCACTCTGTCAGACTACAACATCCAGAAGGAGTCCACCCTGCACCTGGTGCTGCGCCTGAGGGGAGGCATGCAGATCTTTGTGAAGACCTTGACAGGTAAGACCATCACTCTGGAGGTCGAACCCAGTGACACCATTGAGAACGTGAAGGCCAAGATCCAGGACAAGGAGGGCATTCCCCCTGATCAGCAGAGGCTGATCTTCGCTGGCAAGCAGCTGGAAGATGGGCGCACTCTGTCAGACTACAACATCCAGAAAGAGTCCACTCTTCATCTTGTCCTGCGCCTGAGGGGAGGTATGCAGATCTTTGTGAAGACCCTGACTGGCAAAACCATCACCTTGGAGGTTGAACCCAGTGACACCATTGAGAACGTGAAGGCCAAGATCCAGGACAAGGAGGGCATTCCCCCCGATCAGCAGAGGCTGATCTTTGCTGGCAAGCAGCTGGAAGATGGGCGCACTCTGTCAGACTACAACATCCAGAAGGAGTCCACCCTGCACCTGGTGCTGCGCCTGAGGGGTGGTAACTGAAGTGGAGATTCCTTGCTTCCAAGAAAAAGTTCCTCTGCACGTGTTCATTCCAATAAAATTCTCGCATCCACAAAGATTGCAGTCTCTTAAATCCTTCAGGCAGCTATTTTAGTTACTTAATTGCAATCTAATAAATTCTGGTTACTTAATTTCTGAATAATAAAGGTGTTATAAAACTACCTTATGCAAGGCCTGCACGTGCCTGGCCAATGACTCAGATGGTGCTGAGGTTGTGTAAGTGTTTCCATAACTCCCTGTGGGCTGCTGAACTCAGTGCTGGTCACAGTGCTCTTCAGCTATTACTGTGTAATGTAACACAGAATTACAAATCCTTCTGGAGTAGGAAGGTTCAGTAATACTGCTTTGCCCAGTGGAGGGCTGAATACTGCATCAATGTAGTAAAAACCATTATAAAGACACTAAATTCCTTCAAAAGCCAGCGAGCTTCCCTGCTGGCTTTGGCAATCTGCGTGATGGACAATCGGTAGTGAGTCTGCAGCCCTTGATCCAGGTGCTTGGTTCTGATAGTGGGCTGCACAGCTTTAGTCTACAAAGCAAACTTTGTAACTTAAGTACTGGCTTAAAGAATGCGTCTGGGAATGCTCTTTCATCCCAGCTGTGTGCTGTGGAGAAACGGCGCTGTGTTGGTGAGCTGAAGTGCTACAGAGTAGTTCTGTATGCCAAGAACTGACAAGGGATGTCTGCTCACTACTTGCGGTAGGCTGCTGGGTATCTGAGGTCAAACGCTTGCACTGGAAAAGTGGAAAACAGGCTGAAGAGTTAAGAAATGAATGACAAGCTGTATCCTGGGCAGTACTGCGTTACCCATCTGTGTGAGGGTGTGATTGGAGTTGCAGTGAGGGTTTCAGCTCTGCGGGGCTTAAAGTGTCAGCACCACCCAGAGCAGAAGGGTGGGATCCCAGGGAAGAAAACAAAGCGCTTCTTAAGTGATGCTGCCTGTGAATTATACGTGAGTGAGAGTGGTGTGAAGGGAGGTTTCGATGCGTTGTGGTTTGCAGGGAACAAGCCGGGATAATTAAGAAGGGCTCATTGGAGAAAGCCTTTGAACACTGCTGAATGTGCCATCGCGGATTCCCACGCGTACACATCCATGAAGCTTTTCCTGGGAAACTCAGGAATGGAAAAAACCCAAAAGCTGGCACAATACCTCCAGCGCTCTTCTGTGCCGCACAAAGCCGTGCGCGGGCAGGCAGAACGGACCGCCCGCCCAAAGCAACGCACGGCCAAAGGCAGCCATCAGTGAACGCAGCGCTGTGTTCTAAGATGTTTGTTTTTTTTTTTTCTCCGAAACGCCTTAAGCGCCCTCCGGTGCCACGGAGCTACGCGACAGCCCGGCGTGCGCTGACCGTGCGAGCCGCGCACGGAGCCGCGAGCGGAACCCCCGGTAACGCCGGCACGGCCCGGCCGCACACAGCGGCGGCTTCCGCCCCGCTCGGCTCGGCCCATGGGGGCGGTCCGCCCCGCCCCGCTCCGCCGCAGCGCCCCGCCGGGCCCGGGGCATAAAGCGGCGGCGGGCGGCCCGCTGCCCGAGCCATGGGCGCTACGAGGTGGAGGGCGGCGGCGGGGCTGGGGGCGGTTGGGGCCGTCTGCCTGCTGCTGGGCGGCTGCCTGCTGCTGGCGGGGCCCGCTATCATCAAGAAGCAGGTCCTCAAGGTTAGCGGGCCGGGGGCTGCGGATGGCGGCGGTGGTTGCGCGGGGCCGGGCGCGCTGCTGGCGGTGTTTGGCGTCGTCCGAGCTCCGCAGGGGCGATGAGAGCCGCGCACCAAAACGGCTGCTTCGGGGCTGCTCTTCCAGCTTGCGGCGTCCTTAAAATCTCAGCGGGGATAAATCTAGGCTCGGCTGTTCTGTGCTCTGTTGCGGGAGGGCTGGGCTGCCTGGGACCGCGATCCTCCTTAGCGGGGGCTGCGCTCAGCTGGCACTGATGGGTGGTTGCTGCTGGGAGAAGCGCTGGGTGCTCTTTGTTAACTGCATGGGGAAGCTTGTGCTGGTAGATTGCTCTCCATTGCCAAGAACAGCGTGGGTGATGCGCTGCAGTGCTCGGATGGAGTCCTTGCCTCGTGCATGCCGTGGTGTCTGAGAGTGAAGCACAAGAGCTGCCTCTCTTTGGGGTTCCTGGCTGCTGGAGGGGATCCTGCTGCTGGGATGGCATTGGTCCCCTGTGGTTGTGGCACAGGACTGCAGGCTGAGCCCTTGGTCTGCCCAGTGGGTGCTGCACGGAGCCCTGGGACCAGTGCTTAAAGACAGAAAGGGAGAAAATACAATGAGAAGGGCTCAAGGACTGAGATGAGAACAGGGAGGTTGCTCACCTATTGCTGTTGTGAGCAAAGGGGTTCTAACTTGGGGCAGCTGCTGGGCTTTCCTCAGTGTCCCCTCTGCAGCCCCCCACTACCAAACCCTTATTGCATCAGCCCAATACATGGCTTCGTCCCCACATTCACCCAAACCTTTCCCACTGCCCACAAGGGAGGGTCCCTCTGCCTTGGAGTTTCTTCAAGCTCACATCTACCCACATCAACATCTAGAAACACTCCCCTGGCACAGGAGATGAATAGCAAGTGGCTGTTGCTGTGTGTGTGTCCCTGTGTCTTTGTCAGGAGCAAGCTTCTGCTGCAATGTGTGCTCTGGCAGTGCCAGTGTCTGTGCAGAGCCAGGCAGACCTTCGGCTTAAGCCAAAGTTGGTCTCTGTCCAGTCTGCTGGCTGTGCAGAGCTGGTGCTGGCACTTGTAGAACATATGGCACGATCAGTGCAACCAGACTT